CACAAACACAACATGATTAGGTCTCTCAATATTGTAATTGTACAAAGAAAGTTTTGGTTGATTTTGAAAATGTATCTTGTTAATGAAATTTGAATGCTTTTTTAAAATCAACCCAAAACTCCTTTGTATAACTTTAATATTGAGAGGTCTAAAAACATGTTGTATTTTATGTTATTTTGTTCCAACAAGGTTCCAAAAACAGTTATATAAAATATTTCTAAATAATCAACCAGTCAACATTACATAAAATACCGTGTTTTACAGAATGTTTTCAATGATTGGTTTAAGAGAAAAACGTTGTTGAATTCAGTTCTCCATATCGATACCACTACTTTGTCAATCAATCAAAATGATTGGAAGAAGATAAATAAACTTAACAAACTGAGTAACTATGAACCAAAGTTATCATCCTTCACTTACAAAGTCCTTCATCGATTTTTAGCAACTAATACATACTTAAAAATGTGTGGACTCATAGAGTCAACAGTGTTTTCAGTAGGCTTGTCCAAAATTGCGTCCCTTGGACGTAATGATTTTCAAAAAATGCGTCTCCCTTCAAAAAACTGCGTCCCTTGAAAAAATGTTCCCGGGAATTCAAAAGTCACGTTTTTACACTGTATGAAATAAATTGATGAAATTTTGTACCACTGCTTTTGCTATTTATCGGTCTGAATCAGCGTTCTTGCAAGTCTAGTATGTCATTGAATGATACAGATACCATCATAACTTATATTCTCCCATTTAAAACACCTTTTCCTTGCGAATTTCGAAACAATTTGCTATTGATTTTGCTTTAGCATGTTTAGTTTAGGGGCAATCTGCGCGAGGTTCAACTTTTTAGTTCAGTTTCTTGCGCATATGCAGTCTCAAATAATGATCACGTGATCACACTTGACCAATTGAAAATGGTTTGAATCAGGTCTTAAGCTACCGGCCAATCGTAGGACTCATACTGATTACTGCTCGGAAATCGAGTATTGTATAAATTTTTGTCCTATCACATGCCTCGTACTATTTCGATCAGAAATCAACTTCCGGGAAGGAAATTTCGAAAGAAAATTTTATTTCTTTTAGAAATAGAATTTTCTTCAATTATTTATTGGATTCTGACGAAATAAAGAGACTGAAGGTAAGATCTTTATCAAATCATTCATCCAAAGTTGATTGTATGAGTATGGCTTGCACTGCGTCCACAAAACGCAATCACTTTTTATTTCCGGGTCCATGGATTTTTCATTACGTTTTTGCAATACTTGGACGGCGTTATTGAAATAGCAGAGTCAAACATTTGCACTTTTTGTAAAGCAAATCTTGAAACCATTTGCCATCTTCTGTATGAATGTACTATTGTAAGTGCTTTATTAAATGACATTAAACAATGGCTCCCTTTAGAGCTCACATTGCTATGTACTAAACAAAATGTATTGATAGGACCTGAGAGTATAAATGAAAAAACAATCATCCTAAATAATATGCTATGTATTTTTAAAAGGTATGTTTATTTGTGCAAATATTCTATGCTAAAACCAACACTTAAAGGTTTTATAAGTAATGTGAAGGAATATTTTATTATGGACAAACGGATTGGCAGAGACGATAAGTGGAAAATCATGGAAGCAAAATTAAACAAATGATACTGATGATTTTTTTCCTTTAAATAAAAAAAATTACCAATGGTATAACATTTCTTAAAGACTAACGTTTAACCAATACTGTACATTGTAAAATGTATGTTTACCATGTAACTGTATTGTAATTGTTTTTTTGCAATTGCTTTAACATGTTTTTCTTTGAAATAGAAAAAAAATATTTCTATTACATATGATACATATTATAGGTTATTCCATGGTTGATTTTCAATATGATTTTTTCATGATTAACATAATAGCCCTATTTACACTACACGCGACATTTCAAGACGTCTTAGCTAAAACGTTTTAGTAAAATCATGTTGAGTTTACACCACCATTTTCAAGACGTCTTACGAAATATGATAACACCTGTGAGTTTACACCTGTTTTTCTAACTCTTAGAGATATGTAGGCATACATGTAAAATGAAGAAAGCAGTTAAACACTGGTTAAAGGATGGTTAAGTCAACATAGCTATTCCTTTCCCGCTTCTATACTTTCTGCTAAAGAATACATCGGCTTCAAAAAACATATGTCCTAAAGAGAGCATTGTTAAAAGCATGAAAGAGGGCAGGAAGATTTTGTTCATATATTAGGATTATGATAGAACGCTAGGCGAATTAGTTCTTCTCGATATTTTTGGGATGATATTGGTAGCAAAGGGATGAGGGATGTAATCAGGAAGTTTTAATTTTTCGTTCAGTGCAACGCATAAAACCGGGTTAAGAGCTCTAAGCTAAAACCGATGATTTCCACTCGCTTGTAAAACGTTTTAACGCTAAGACGTCTTGGCTATGCCTAGGGTCCTAAAACGTTTTAGCTAAGCGCTCTTAGCTGAGAGAGCTCTTGAGAAAATCTGGATTTACATTACATTTGTAAAACGTTTTAAATAACGCTAAAACGTTTTGGCCAAAACGTCTTAGGGCTCTAGTGTAAATCCAACAATTTACTGACCGAAATACGATATAGACCAAAAGAGCGTAGAGGTTGACGTTCAGATCTAAAATGTATACTTTACCGAATTCAAATGCGGCCCCATTTACCGCACGGTAACTCGAGTTCAGTCGTCTCCTTTGGCCATAAATGCAATCATTCCAGGAGCTGATGAACTCTGTCATTCATGCCAACGGTACCCCATCGAATGCTGGTTTGAATGACTCTGTCCATTAAGGTTGTGGATCCTCGACACATTTGGTTCAAACTCCAAGTGCAAACTAACGGTTAACCTAGGTGTTGGGCCTAGCCTAGCTTGGTCAAAACGAAACGAGATCAAATGTGATCGGATACCGACGAATGCCGAGTAGGCCTGATCTTATTTTAGACATGAATGTGCACTTTATAATATCTAACTCAAACAGTTTTTTGATGAAAAACATTTGACCCTTCATCTTGCGTATTTATCATAACAATTGGAGGTATATTAGTCTATTAGAAGAAATTCAACTACTTTCATTCATAAATTTCAAATCAACTTACAATATTATCCGTGCTGTACAATCGAGGCGGCTTGCAGCGCGTTGTCCAATCAGACGCAAGTATTTGTTATTTTTCGATTTCGTAGAATTCACTTGGCGTTCGTAGAAAAAACTACGTTCAAAAGGTCAATGTGACATGTAGTAGCCTATTATAAGTAGTAGTCACTGCGTCCGCGTATGCTTTCTGCTACGCATATGTCCCGTCACGTATCAAGATGGATGAACATTCACAAGACGTGGATGGTTCAGATTTATTTTAAGAGATGCAGAACTAATGATCCACGAAGTATTTTCTTTGATATAGCCTACACGGTGTCCAACCCAAACGCTCTTACATGCACGACGGAGCGTTTCATTCACGCGGAAACGCTGCGGAGTGAAATAAAATGGCGGCTAATGAAGATCCCACTATGACCGTAAGTATTGTTTCACTCGTTTCTCTTACATATCATACGTTATGCTGGCATATTATGTACCATTCGATGAACAATACCCTGAGCAAAGATATTATTTATTCAACTTCTTGTGGTAAACTGTTATTTGATTGATCAAAGCTCCGAACTGAAGATCGAACGAAGCTGAAGTTGGCGAATCGACCACAGTATTCATATGAAAACGTTAAATCTTTCTGTCAAAGTAGTAGACCACACTCTTATATTCTCATTTCCTAAAATTCCAGTCCAAATACATTACTCATTCTCGATAAATCACTTGTTTTCCTTGAAACACTACCACGCGGTACTAACTCGACGGGGCGTATCGAAACCAAAACGCCCCGCAAAACCGTTAATTTGAATTTCAAACCTACCCTTTCTTTGGAAAATCAATGATTGTGAGTCTCGCAGTACACCGTTTTTCTTCAAGCTTGTTCCATTAAAACCTTCACAGATATACCTTTCACTCGAGACATTGTTTTTGAGTACAGAGTCACTCTTGGTCCCCAGATGTGAGAAGATGCAAATCTTCAGAGATTTCAACCAAAAGCCTCGATATATCGGCAGTTCTTTTATTATTCTCCCCTATATTTTGCACAAGGACTCCCATTACAACCCTCCATCTCAGCATCAACATATTTATTACATTAAACGCAACAATTTCCAAAAGTCCTACGCATGTTCGAAATTGATCAAAACGCCGCGTTCTCTTCCAAAACGCCCCGTTGGGTCTATACATTTCTACTTCCGGTTGAGCGTTTGGCTGTTCCAATTTGTTTACTTACCTCCTGACCCCGACCGTTAAGTTTTTTTATTGACATGTCGGCCTATTTTATTGGTTTCACGCATATCTACTACATTGATAATTATTGAAATTATTGAGATTACAGTTTACAAATGCTCCGACAGAAAAGTTTGGCTCAGGACAATTTCTCCATGCCATTTTGAATTTTGCAGACGAGAGTGGGATGCGAAAAGAACGGAACGGCCTAAACTGACCAATGAGTGCATTGAACGAAACACTTAGTACAGAGCCGGTGTAAAAGGGTAGGAGGTCCTCTCAAAGTATGACCCTACTCTCCATTGATTTATATGGTGACCTAAATATAACCCTTTCCCTTATTATCTTATACACAATCAGGGCCAGTAAGGGCCGTTTAAAAAGGGGACCATAATCCCCAGGGGACCATAATTTCTTTCACACCGGGAATTTGATCTCGAATAGAACCCATTGACTTTGTTTACTAGAAGGCGTGAATAGAGTCATGTTCGAATCCGTATTAATGTCAACAAAACCACTAATACGGAACGGTGTAAACGGGACCGTGTTGATATGTCACTTGGTATGCATATATTTGTAGATATCATTGCTGAATACAGTGAAGGTACTTTTACTGATTTTCCAATCAACCATGTTAACTCCTCATTGCCCTTGATATACATGAATAACAGAGATACAATTTTTGATTTACGAAAGGAAATTTATTCATATGCTATGAAACATTAGAAACATTCAGTGCGAACTAGGTTTTACTTTCACATTAATAAATGGTGAATACTAATGATGAAATCAGATAGATTATTCTACAACAGTTTATGATCTTAGAACGAAATTCTCGTTGAACGATTCATTCCAATATACATATAGAGCCAATGTTACAATGTTTTGCCAAATTACTAAGATTAAATATTAAATCTCAAATTGTTAAATATGAGTCCTATATATAAAGTCACAATGATTCCGGTTTCTTGAAGAATACACATCTTAGCCATACGCCTGTGTTTTCTATGGTATCTTGGGTTTACAACTCTCATATATTGTTTTCAAGCCTATGGAGATACAGCACCCAGTTTCCCCCTTACATGTGTCGGAAACGTTTTCAACACTAGAGGTCTTGCAGCAACGTGAGGGGGTTGTTCTATCAACACACCTCGAGCCATACTTCTTGCAGTCCATTCCAGCCCATTCCCACCTATAACGTATATTCAGACAAACAGAAATTAGAGAGATTTTATCATTATTAATATCCATTGGGGTGAGTAATGGATGACATTTAGCAATAAGTGTTAAGGTGGCATATACCTTGTTTATTTTTCATGAAGCCATTCAGTAAAATTACGATTTCTGTGCACCCTGATGTCCAATCAAGATCAATCGAGTATCGAGTATTGTTTTGAAGTCAGAAAACCCCAATGAGACAATACAAACACAGAGAACTTACCCGGAAGACTGCAGATTTCATGCAATGTTTTACGTTCATGTAAACGAGTAAAGTACATCTAATCCCCATGTAAAACACTGGCCTACGTGACATGTACTCGCATGTTCAAACTGTATTATACAACCTTTTCAATATGGCATTTCAATTGCTTTCGTGTTTTGTATATCCCTCGAGCTGCTTAATAAGGCAATGTATCTTCAAATAAAACCTTAGCCAAGTAGATTAGAGTCTATGGAACACTTTTTTAAATAGTTTCCACGAGCAATTTTGTTTGTGTACCTCATATTTTGTCTTCCCTTCCCTCCCCTTTGTCTTCTTTAGTCATAAATTACGTCAATATAGCGTGCAAACTCTGTGGAGACGTTTGTCATTCTCGGTTGTCCAAACGTGTCAGGAACACAAAGATACTCAAATGATCTTGATTGGACATCAGGGTGCAGAGAAATCGTAATTTTGCTGAGTGGCTTCACGAAAAAATAAACAGGGTTATAAGGCACGTTAATACGGGATCACCTCATTATACCGAAGCTCATTATACCGAAACCCCTTATACCGACGCGCATTGTACCGAAAACCAATATACCGACGCGCATTGTACCGAAAACCAATTTACCGACGCGCATTGTACCGAAAACCAATATACCGGTGCGCGTTGTAACGAAATCAGTGCGCTTTGTAACGAAATACGTGCGCGTTGTACCGAAGACCATTGCTGTTGTGTATACCGACAGTCCGACACCATGATTTTGTGATGTAAAAAGGCTTGTAATGGAAGATGTATGATAAGTATGATAAGTATTATTGAAAATTATGCATATTCAATCAGGAAGACCAGACAAGAAATAGCATGTACAGTGCTGGTATATATATTAATTGATCAGTCGTTTAATTGGCACATTTTCTTGAATTTTAACATTTAATGTCTCAAACTCCCACAAACTGCAGGCAAAGTATATCCCATAAATCATATTTACCAAAATGAGTGTCTCCAAGGTTTCACTCCAGCGTTTGCATAATGCATTTGTCACGAGTTTGAGCTCAAATTTCGCCAAAATAAAGTAGCCTAAGGGTAGTCTCTGACAGGTTTGTTTATTGTGGTAAGCTTGTAAGTGCTCAGAACCAAATAATTCATGTGCGCAATATAATCAAATAATCTGATTGGTCTAAACTTTGCTGCACATGCGCACAATGTGTGCCATGTTTTTTTCTAGTGATTTCGTTTCGTTTCATGGAGTTTGCGTTTCAGTGCAACTTCCGCAAAAATGGCCGACCATGGACAGAATTAATAGGTAAAATCACTTCGAAATTTCAAGAGAACTTCTTACCTAATAGCAAAACTTTTGTTTTATTTGTGCATTCTATCTATCAGATAAGAGTTTCAGGGGTATGTAGGCACATTCATTTTGGTAGGAGCACTCTGTTTAGTTTGAAAACGCACCCTTTATTATTATTATATATCAGCACTATAAAAATGAGCATTCCTTTGTACTAAAATCAGAAGTTTATTGATCCACTCGATTAAGCTACGCTGGTTACCGAAACGAACCGATAACCATTGTACAGAAAACCAGTATACCGAACCGTTTCAGTAACAAAATGTCGGAACGTCGAAGGTACGATTTTTATTTTTTCCTTATTTCACGCGTTGTAGGCAGAATCCCCACAACATTTTTTCTCACAAACGTGTATCAGTATCATATGTTTTAGAAAATGTACGTGTTTGCGAAAAAATGGCTCAGACGACAACAAAATCGTCGATTTAATTCCTCACTGAAGTTACAGAAACGGTTTGGGTTAAAAGTGCAGATCTTAACTGTTTTTCGAGATATCAATGTTCCGACATTTTGTTACCGAAACGGTTCCAGCGTAATCGAGTGGATCACCGGTGAGATTGAATGACGAAACATTTTGACATGCAAGGTTTGTTTCATTCTATGCAGAAGGAAAGAGAGAAACTTACATTCTTTTGGTGTTTTCGAGAGTCTGCTCTAGAGATTCCAGTTCAGATGCAAATCTGGTTTCCTCTGAAACAAGATTATTGACGATTATTGGTCAATTAATACAGAACAGATCTAAATTATTTGAAGGGTAACTCATGGTAAGAATAGTTGAATGTTTTAGCATTGCGGGGGCAACAGGGTGTGGATAGAGGGACAATATGTTTTTGGGTTGTAGTTTAGAGTTGAAGGAGCTGAAGCACTTTTTGCATGTTTTTAACCTAATCTGTCAAAAAGAACCTCCCCTGGAAAAAGCCCCCCTCCCCTGGTAAAAGAATTTTCTTAGAAGAACACAAGTTAATTTAGTCTCAACAAGTAGATTCATGCCGGATAGTATGCTAGAATCAACAGCAAGAACAGAAGTTCTTAAACAGGACATTTGGTTTGCTTTTTAGAACTTTTTATTGGCTCTAAAAGGGGCAATGTGCATGTCTGTACGAGTAGAGAAACAATAGGATTTGGATTTTTTAATTTTAGTTATTTATCAGATTAATCTTTCAAGGATGTGACACATACAAATAGATAAAGTATTATAATTAATTTATTTATTTATTTATTTACCTTGGAGAAGCAGGTCAGATTGTACCAATTCTTCCCTTTTTCGTACTGAAAAATAATTAAGCAGTATGTACCAATATGAATCAATTGAACTATTTCAATAGATATCAATACAAGGTGGATTGTCAAATTATATGTCCTTCAGTACGTGATAAAGGAATGAAATATTATTGACTAAAATTAAATACAGTAATCAACTTCATTCAGACGTCTAGATTTTAATCAATAATAGACGGAATTTTTATAGAAATTGTCAATATTTTCACGCATAAGTAGATTTCGGAAATCTCACCTTCCCCACCCAAGACTGCCCCATCTGCGGATGAACGAGTATCCTCCTCAAGTAGGCGCATCAACAGGTTTCTCGCAAACACTTCATATTGATTATTAGTACTCCCAGCTATACTTGAAGAGATTTCTCCATAAGTCAAGCTCACGCATGCCAATAAACAAATTGCGACTACGGTATTCATGGTACTGTTTGATGTCTCGATTCCTGTCGACTGCTACCTGCGTGTGAAACAAAGTATAGTATTTTTTATTTGTACAACCTCTTTAATAGAATTTCCTCTTCCTTTTTGGAGAAAATGTTTGACATTTTGTTAAGAAATGTAAATTTTCTTTCAATATATTTTTGTGCCAAAAATGCGATCAGTCAGGCTCGATAATTCCGTCAACTAGCACAATTCGTATGTGCATCAATATTTAGTATTTACTGAGAATGTGTGCCACAATTCTCCTTTTCAATGTTTGTTGTTGTTAACTACAAAATGGCAGCCGTAGATAGAAACGAAAATACAATTATTTAGAACGGAAACATTTGCTCAAGTGACGTTCGTTGGCATGTGTCAGTGAGTAAATATTGAAGAAGAATATGACTTTGACTCTGTACATGATCTTGTTCTCAAAGAAACCGGTTACGGACCAGTTCATCTGGACGTAGTTCTATCACCTCACACTTGAAGATTTCGAATACATTTCGTGAATGCTATGTTGAGAATGGATTCGAGATGTACTCGATATAATGTGTATCATGGTGCCTCACTGAGAAATTAATGATGTACGAATTTTGAGATTTTTCTTTTCGAATGTTGACGCATTTAGTGAGCCTAACTAAATAATTCAAAACAGAATAAATATTATCTATTATCTTTTCTAATTGAAAGCCCATGATAACAATTATCACTTTGCATTATCTTTTCCACGGCATTGGAAAACGGATAACTATCAATTTTTGTTTTATTTTTATTTTCATTTTCATTGGCATCATCTACCGACTATCATAGCTTAACCCCCCCCCCTACCCCCGATTACCATGATTTTCCCGCCAAATGGTGTCACGTTCTATAACTCAAGGTGAACACACAACGGGGCAACAACTTATTGCAAAAAGAACTATCGAAAAAATCAATTTAACCCCCCCCGCAGACATTAGGGTTGAATACGTAATATATCAGCTTTAACGCTCATAAGTCTACCTTGTGTACATTAAAATTAATGATGATCGGATGATGTAGATTACAAATATGATTGTATAACATCATATGATACCAAACTTGTATGTAATAGTTACAAAATACACGGCACAATTCCTCCCCTCACAAACAGTATCAATAAGTGAATCGATGCCCGATAAATTAAAGATAATTTGAATAAAATGTACAAAGTTGGGGACAAAAATAAATGACAGGTCGATTTTCGATCACCATTTCCTAATTATGGTGGTCTGAAAGCCCATAATTTCCAATATTGTCTAGATATATATCCCTTAAAATTTGTATATTTTACATTTTGTATAAGCTCATCCACTGATGTATGGCCTCTTGTAAATTCTCTTATTTTTAACATGGGAAATCCTCACTTCAGCAAATCCACCTGTCATTTATTTATGTCCCCAACTGTATGTAAATCAATCGTGCTTTTTATGATAAAGTGTAAGAACACATTTTCTCAATTCAGTGGCCTACATTTTGAAGTACAATAAAATAAGTAGGGCACTTTATTTTCTCAATTTTATAATAAAAAAACATTATTCACAACATTCATTTCTAAGTACAGTCTGTACCTTAGTACACACCCACGCTGCACCCTTTATGACAAAGGGTCTACAAAATGTATTTTTTACATAAACATTACATTACAATAACATTAAATTTTATTAGTAAAGTTACTTACTTTGCTCTCGACCCCCTTATGTCTCTTCCAACGATACTGCCAATACTATGATGCTGGTCGTATACAGTGTAGCCCAAACTAACTGGAGTGTGACTGGGTTGAAACGCAACTGGACACATGTGGAGGTTGGACGAGATATACCAATCAAAGTCCAAAACATGTATCAAACGTTACAGCTTCATTGAACACAATAAGCATAAGCTATTTTATCCCACGGTGGGAACGGTTGGGAAATAGAGAAGCCATTAGTTCATCTGTCTGTCCGTCCGTCTTTTTGTTTCCAGGCCATAACTCAAACATCGGTTGACGGATTTTGAAGTCATTAAATGTAGTGGCCCCATTATGCTTCAAAATGGTTGGTTTGCTTTGGTTTCCGGTCGAAATGAGATTTGATTTATGAAAATAGTGTGTTGTTCCGATACACCATTAGAAAGCTGAAAGGGTCAGCTTAAAGAATCTGACCTCCATTTGAATTTTGGGTGAATTGCAAAATTGTATACTAACCCTTTCATCCCCAAGGGGTCATTTATTAATTTTATGAAGACTGATTTCATAATGACGAGTACCCCTATTGCCTGAATGGATTATTTGTAGATTTACAATAATTAATTCAATGTCAAATGAAATATTTAAGAGTTTGAACCAAGATAGGCTAAGATAGGGGTCATCAAGTGCAAAATGACACCATAATGCTACAAAATGCGTCAGAATCTTTGTTTAGTAGAAATGAGATTTTATATTTGAAAATAATATGTGTTTCGATGTATTATTTGGTATTTAGGAATGTTCATTATAAATTATTCATCTCCCGGGAATATTAAGATTGCAGTAAGCGTGAATTGACTTAACATGAGAATATGCACCTTTGACTTAACATTGGGTATTATCATATCCTAGCTTTGACCTTAATTTGATATTTTTAATTTTACCCTTATAAGTTTGCTATCAATGATAATTCCAAAGGAGCCCTACCTGCAATCTAAACAAGTGGTATGGGTGGTGCACTACATATAAGGAGGACCTGGTGTCCTAGGCTGTATGGTCCCACGGACCATATATTCAGGGAGACTATATTTACTCTGACAAAAAATTAGAAGAATTGGTCTCGGGGACAGATGCAACCAGAAAAATAGTCCGATTGGACTTATATAACTAGAATATTAAGGAAAGGTTGTCTCGGGGACAGGAGTTACCCGGAAAATATAGTCTCCTGAACATGCATTATTAATATAAATCATCTAAGGGAAACTAAACAAGAATAATCATTTAGTTTCATTTGATGCAGAATATGCTAAAAGAATAACAAAAATTATGAAAGAGTGGGACTCGATCCACATCAGGCAACAGTCAACAGTCAACACGCATGAAACTGTCCTAACCACTATACCAAAGGTGATTGGACGAAATCAGTGTTTTTTTATTCGTAAATAATATATCAATTCAGTATAAACTATAATACGACATCGATACATTTAATATTGACATAACAGCTAGGACCAAAATCTAGCCGGACAATCTATTCGTTCACTGCCAACGTACCTATAGTTCGTCAGTAAATATAATCCGGGTTTATATTGTATACCAATACAGAAAATATGGTCCGGCTATTAATTATAACCAGCTCGGGACAAGTGTTTAAGACAGAGAGAAAGGGACAAGGAGCGAAGAAATTTAATGCTTGGGTGGGACACTACATGATTACAAAGTCTATCAAATGAATATAAACTAGTTAATGAACTGGGACTACAACTCAAACAAACTATCGATGGGCATGAACTGAAAATGTATCTTGAATGACTTATGTATGATGGATGATGATGAATTATGATTGGAATATAATGATGCACGGTCCATATTTGAAAGGACCACCTACCCTTTTACACCGGCTCACTTGTCACAGTCGCTGTAGTGAGGTTGACCCTAAATTGTTTTGAGTTGCAAAAGTCTGTACAGATTTACACAATTGATTTTAAAATTATTTCCAATATCTCTGCTCTGCAAACTACGGCACATGCAGATCTTTGGCAGGGCGCAAAAAGAATGTGGGCCAAAAAAGTGGGTCGAATTTGGAAGAAAATTGGCCTCAAAAGTTCAAAATTTGGGCCCAAATTTTTTCTCACACCTGAAATTTGGGCCCCCCCCATGTTGGAACCCCGGACGTGCACCGGACGTATTACATAGTGGAAGGGAGAGAAATTGGATGTGTGGACTGGTCTGGTGACACCATCCTCCTACACCCCCTGGTATCACTGTTCCACAGCTGGATAACTCTAACTGTAGTCAGCGTCATTCAAGAGGGTTTGTAGAAAAAACCGGGTACCGGGTAGTAAATCCTCCATGCTGTGCGATCGCACCATCGACCCCCCTCATGGCTACTCTAAATGTAAATCTATATGTAACCATATGTACAAATGTAAATAATCTGTTAATGTGAATTGTCTGTAATTATATGTAATGTTTAAATCTTCACCCATGTGGAGGAAATAAAGACACTGAACTGAACTGAACTGTATCCGTTTTTTTCGACCGGGTACCGGTTACCAAGTTTGAACCCAGCATGGAGGATTTACTACCCGGTACCCGTTTTTTTCTACAAACCCTCATTCAAGATGGTTGGTGAAATTCTTTCGTTTTCGACAAATCTCCGATTTCAGCTAAACTAAGCTGAATCATGATTCCAAAAGTTTCGCCATGGAAACTAATAAAACTATGAATTGTAAAAAAGCAAAAATATATAATATTAAGAGAATTTGAAGGAAAATAACTTCACTTAGAATGACTGTAACTGAAGTTTTATGATGACAACTTCCCACCAACGGCGAATGCTATGTATAATCCGATCAGAAAATGAGTCCAGGGTGGGTCTATTGAGCCATATTTGGACAGACTGAAAAAGAAATGAATTTGTTTTATAAGCATACACATGTTTATTGATCAGCATGCATGGTTCAAAAACTGAATGAAAACAATATATAATATCCAATAATGAAAGACTCATGACAATGTTGTTACGCGGTAAAGACGATACAAAAATATGTCATATTCCGCAACGAATATGGCATATTCACTTGCGGTGTATGACAGATTCACCTGCGGTATATGGCATACACACTAACCAATGAGAACGTGATACGGAAGTACGCAATTGTCAATTGCATCGATTGAACGAACAAGTAAAACGATATAAATTATTTTAATGATTACTGAATCGACACTACTGTGTATCGAATATATTAACTTAGCAGAAGTATCAGTCACCAATCTCGCGTAATAAACTTACTCAATCAATCAGATGCAGGATTCATATATTAGTACTCGACGCACTAACTATATTGGTAATACAGCGTAGTTTTACATTTAGAGTCGATTCTCGCTACCAATCAAATTAAGGCTTTCTGTATCACGTTTTCACCTGCGGTATATGTCATATTCACCTGCGGTATATGGCATATTCCGCAAGTGAGTATGACATATTCTGCAGGTGAGTATCGGGTATTCACTGAAATCAATGTATCGTATATTCACTGCGGAATATCGCATACTCACCTGCGGAATATGCCATATACTGCAGGTGAGTATGGCATATTCACCCGTATCACAAATACCGCACAACCATGAATGTATGCCATATACCGCGTAACACACTCCCTGTTACGCGGTATATGGCATATATTCATGGTTGCGCGGTATTTGTGATACGGGTGAATATGCCATACTCACCTGCGGTATATGGCATATTCCGCAGGTGAGTATGCGATATTCCGCAGTGAATATGCGATACATTGATTTCAGTGAATACCCGATACTCACCTGCGGAATATGTCATACTCACTTGCGGAATATGCCATATACCACAGGTGACTATGGCATATACCGCAGGTGAAAACGTGATACAGAAAGCCTTGATTTGATTGGTTGCGAGAGTCGACTCTAAATGTAAAACTACGCTGGATTACCAATAAAGTTAGTGCGTCGAGTACTAATATATGAATCCTGGATTGATCGAGTGAGTTTATTACATGAGATTCGTGACTGATACTTCTGCTAAGTTAATATATTCGATACACAGTACTGTTGATTCAGGTAATCATTATAATAATTTATAAAGTTTTACTCGTTCGTTCAATCGATGCAATTGACAATTGTGTACTTCTGTATCATGTTCTCATTGGTTAGTGTGTATGCCATATACCGCAGCTGAATCTGTCATACACCGCAAGTGAATATGCCATATTCGTTGCGGAATATGGCATATTTTTGTATCGTGTTTACCGCGTAACACTCCCTGCGTGGAAAATATGCCCAGTAGGGTGTCATTCACTTGAAATGTATTATTCTAATCTTACTATTGGAAATAAATAAATAAATAATAAAATAATAATCTCTAGGGCCATACTACCACTGAGTTCCGGGACCATCTTATTTTTAACATCTCATACACTTCTATTACGTCACGGCTAGGCGAGTGTGACCCCTAGTTGTTACATGTATTTTTACCACTTTATTTTTTGTCATGTTATACATGTATTTCTTAAATTACGATCCCCTTCATGAGACAATTCCCAGTAAATTACTATCAAGATATAGAGATTTTCACCAGAACGCCATCTTTCTTTCGGTATAAAAGTTTATTTCTTATAAGACTCATTGTAAAGACAGATGTTTTACAACCCTTAAAATTCACTCAGAATGAAATTCATGATTTAAACCCAAAACAAACCCTCTCTTAATCACGCTTACTCAATGAGTTGAGGGAATGTAACTTAATTCTGTCGATTTACAGCTGCAGCTTTGATTGCGCATGATTCATCTTGCCAATCAAAATAATAGATGTCGCGGCAATAAAATAAAAATTACAATTTCTTTCCACCAATGTAAAAGTTGCCATTTGGATTTCGTTAAAACTATCGTGGATTTCCACATTTCACATTATAAAAGGAAATATTTGTTCTCTTACCCGTTTTGTTCACTTCATAACCACACGTAAGTATTAAAATAAATATCTAGGAATAATTTGAACGAAAGTGGTTTTCCTTTACGGTCGCAAAGTACTTACAGATTTGATTTATTTAGAAAATATGAACAGTTCACAAATGAATTTTTCTGATTTTCTACAGTGGGGATCATAAAGAATTGCAAAAGCTATGAAAATTACATGCTGTCGCACATGTAATAAATTCTTACCTCAGTGTATTCAGTGCTCTATTTTCTCCGTCTTAGTAAGTCCAAATATAGTGGAATTTGTGTCCCTACTACTTTTTTCAAGGCCTGACTTCGTCGCTAACATGCTAAATATAAGAGTTAGCTGACGTTTGGGAGTCTGACTTACCTTCTAAAGGTTAGAACCCGAATCTTAATGAAACCATATCACCTTTGTTGCGTCGATGATGATGCATAAACATAGCATTTGATAGAAATTAGTGTAAATGCTTTTCCGACTTTTTCATTTTTCATCAATGTTGACTTTCGGGAAGGCGTTGTAGTTATCACGAAATAACGCATTGACCCTTGAACTTTACTTTGTTGACGTGTCATCCAAGCATGTCTGGTGTGAAAATTAAAAGAATATTTAAGCAATGTTCTACATCCGCCAAGCTAAGTGAAGTAGCCAATATTTAAAATTACCAATTTCAAGTGAAGTACGCAACGAACGAAACTGCGTGATCTACAGTCCCACTATTTGTCTGAACGAAATCCTACGTAGAAATATGAGCCGTCTGCTGTATTAGTCGATTAATAGAGTAAGACCTGTTGGTGATGCTTTATATTTTAGACCAAAACATTGAAGAACATACGAACCTGTAAATCGTGAAAACAACGAACAAATATTCGGTTTTCATATATGTTCGGTAATTTTTCGTATTGAAACTTCCGGAACTTACAAGGAAATCATTCATTTTCTCGGTCCATGATTTACCTCTTGGATGTTGTGGCAAATGCTCCATGGTTGACGGAACAAAGGTGATATGGTTTCATTAAGATTCGGGTTCTAACCTTTAGAAGGTAAGTCAGACTCCCAAACATTTTTCACTTCACAATTTGAATTTCGAGTCTTGGTCTTATTACCTCACAAAAACTTTCAAAACACCTGTAGTGATCAATTAGTTCAAGTCTTTTAGATCGCTACTTTGAATTTACAGCCAGCTATAGTGTCAGACATAACGTCATGTTCGTCCAGTCCAGAATGTTTTGATAAAGTGTATAAAAAACAAGAAAATTCAGTGAAATTGTCTTGTTTGAAGTGATTTAGAATTCATTTCGATTGCAAGTTCAAATTTCACAATGTTTTCATGAGTCTAAGATTAGATTTTACAAATAAGATGTTAAGATGCACTCGCCCATTTTTTCCAGATTAACACTACTAATACTATGTCGGGAATTGCTCTTGGACGTCTCGCAGAAGAAAGAAAGACCTGGAGAAAAGATCACCCTTTTGTAAGTAAATCAATGCACTGACTTCGGCAGAATTAGAGAAATCGAGCATCCTTCTTTCTCTGAAACTCCAATAATGTCCAACCTCTTCAATTTTGGATTCTCACCGAAAATATAATGCAATTCATAGTCACTGATGATCAATTTCCAAGGTTTGTCTGTTTCCTCCAATGAACCCAAACTTAGATCCTCATGGATGGTGATTTATATGGCTTCATATTAATGATACAGATACTAATTAGTGTTTGTTTTTCTGATTTACCTAAATTTGGGCCTGAACTACAAATTTTTACATTTTTTATGATTCTTTTTTTTTTAAATCCAGGTCATACCTGTCCACATTTTTATTTGGGAGAATTATCATATTTTGACACACACCCTTAATTATTTATCATGTTTTATTGCAGGGGTTCGTCGCACGTCCTTGTAAGAGTGCTGATGGAACTGGGCTTAATCTCATGAATTGGGAGTGTGCAATTCCTGGAAAGAAGGGGGTAAGGCACATTTGTATATACATCCTGTATCAGCAAAACAAATTTTTCAAGCTTTGATTTTTACATAAGACATGCAGTGGTTCTGCAAGTCCACGGCAGGGACAGAATTCATCAAAAGTTCAGCATGATGCAGAAGTCCTAATTTTCCTGAAAATCCAGTGGAATTACCAGAATTACTTAATTTTATAGCTCCTGCTGTTGTGAGGTATTTGTAGAGTGCCTGTTTTAATGGCCAGCAATCAATCATTAATAGTACGATTTAACCATGAAATTCCATCATGTTTCACTTCACTAAAGCGATCAGATGTTTCATAGAAATTGTTCAATGATTTCCGCTTTTGGTTTCATTATCGTATTTTAAATTTAAAAAAACAGTCAAAAATGAATGCATGAAAAAAAATTGATTGAATTGTCTGTTTAAAAAAATTGCAGAATTTTGTCTTTTGAAATGAAAATTTGTGCAGAATTTTGATTTTCCCTTTCAGAATTACCTTTTTTTCGTAGAATTTTTCAGACATAAAACTTGGTTAAATTATCAATAACAAACTTTTGATGGTTTACAGTCATCATTAAGATAATTAAGTTTAAATTTTGAGCTTGATTTGGCTATCCGATTTTGAGAATTTCTAAATGTTATTGAGCTCTAAATCTTTGATTTCAGTCTACTAGAATTGATGAGTCTTCAGTTACTTATATTTTGCATTCATCATTGTTACATGGTCACATGTAGATTTTGTATTTTTTTCATTTGTAGACACCCTGGGAGAATGGGCTCTACAAACTCAGAATGCTTTTCAAAGATGACTACCCCTCCTCACCACCTAAGTGTGAGTATTCTTTTATTTCTATGGCAACATTAGCCAAAAGAATTTGCTTTATTTTCACTGTTACTCGGGTGTCCATTTCTGGAACTGCTGCAACTTTGGCCGAAAGTCATTGTTCATCTTAGAGAAGACAATGTTTTCTAGAATCATAAGCTACGATCGTACCAAAAGTGGACCTGTGTTTAGTATTGCGTGAGCTTAATATGTGATTTAAGAGCTCTATTGTGATATATCCTTCTCATTAATCTCACCTTCATTAGAACCACCAGGCCTTTAAGAGCAAATAAGCCACATACCTAAATTATGCCATTTATGCTGATGTGATTACTATTTTATGTCACCATTAGAAAATATAGTCTCCACCTTTTTTGGTAAATGGTATTCGGTATTTTTTATTTGGCACTCAGTGTTTGGCAGTTGATTTTTGGTGGTTGTTAAGTAGTCAGCTTCCCGTGACTGTAACAAATGACAGGTGGTGACATTTTGCAAGTTTATGCCTTGTATAAACCAACTTTGTTCTTAAAGAACCATTCATTGAGTTCATTGATGCTTTGTTATTTCAGGCAAATTTGAGCCCCCTCTATTCCATCCTAATATCTACCCATCTGGTACAGTGTGTCTTTCATTATTGGATGAGGAAAAGGACTGGAGACCCGCCGTGACAATCAAACAGGTGACCAACACTGAAAAACTAATATTGATGTTGCCTGTAATTTTATCATCCTCTATGAATCTGATTTAAATTGCAAGCAACATATTTCATAAGTATAAAAAACAATTGTGGTATCTTGTTAAATCTTAACTAATTTAAATGCTAAGTAACAATGAAGGATATGTGTCATGATTTCCTTAATTGCACCGTTTCATCATTGCTTTTCTGGGTTGCTCTATTTCTTCATTGTATTTCTGAGTGCTATTTCATCATTACATTAATCTAGATTGCTCTTTTTCATCATTTTAAAAGCTCTGTTTCATCATTGTATTTCTGAATTGCTCTATTTCATCATTGCACAGTTTGATTGCTGTATTTCATCATTGCATTTCTTGACTGCTCTATTTCATCATTTTTTGCATTTCTGTATTGCTCTCTTGTACCATTGCAATTTTAGATTGCTCTTTTAGATTTCATCATTGCATTTTGGATTGTTCTATTTTATCATAGCAAAGCTTGGATCCTCTTAATCATTGCATTTTTTGATCGGTCTATTTCATCGTTGCATTTCTGGATTTTCTATTTCATGATTGCGTTTCTGGATTGCTCTATTTCATCATTGCATTTAATGTTTCAGATCTTACTTGGTATTCAAAGTTTGCTGAATGATCCCAACATCAGAGATCCTGCACAGGCTGAGGCTTATACTATATACTGGTAGAGTTATATAACTATTACACAGTTTCATAATGCAGACAATTTACTCTGATTTTTTTTACCAAGATTGTAAAAAAAAGAATTTTATTTCATATTTGCAATAATGTTGTTACTATAACCACTATTCTAATATGATAAGTGACGTCACAATAGCTAGAACAATTGATTTACTGGTCTGTATTGGAGTATGTATGACCGTTTAAATTCATGAATTCAAATAGTTGTGTTTCTTGTCTGTTTATCATATTATTGTTGTTTTCTAGTTGTAAATAAGTATGGATTTACATCATAATACAGGGTATCTATTAAGTCTTTTTACACTTTACAGACTTTGTATTGTACGAGAATTGTAATGAGCCTTTATGGAGACCCTGTATTTATCCCACCGAACGAAGTTCGAGAGGGATATAGGAAAGCCGTCCGTCTGTCCGTCCGTCTGTCCGTCCGTCTGTTTGTCCAGTGAATCCAGTGAACGGATTTGGTTCAAATTGTATATGATGATGCCAAGGGACACAGTAGATCTGTTCGAGTTACAATTTTCAAGATGGCCGCTGAATTTCAAAATGGCGGCCATTTTTCGTAAAAAAACGTAATCTCTGGTAACTCAAATACCAGTGAACGGATTTGGTTCAAATTTTGTATGCTTATGCCTAGGGACAAAGTAGCTTTGCTCAAGATGAGATTTTCAAGATGGCCACTGATTGTCAAAATGGCGGCCATTTTTCATAAAAAAAACGTAATCTTTGATAACTCAAATACCAGTGAACGGATTTGGCTCAAATTTTATATGATAATGCCTAGGGACACAATAGATCTGTTCAAGAAAGGATTTTCAAGATGGCGGCTTGATATTCAAAATGGCGGCCATTTTTCGTAAAAAAGGTAATCTTTGTTAAGTCAAATACCAGTGAACGGATTTGGCTCAAATTTTATATGATGATGCCTCTGTTCGAGAAAGAATTTTCAAGATGGCGGCTGAATTTCAAAATGGACGCCATTTTTCGTAAAAAACGTAATCTTTGATAACTTAAATACCAGTGAACAGATTTGGCTCATTATTTATATGATGATTCCTAGGGACACAGTAGATCTGTTTGAGAAAATTTTTTCAAGATGGCGGCTGAATTTCAAAATGGTAGCCATTTTTCATAAGAAAAACGTAATCTTTGATAAGTCAAATACCAGTGAACAGATTTGGTTCAAATTTTATATGCTGATGCCTAGAAACACAGTAGCTCTGTTCGCGAAAAAAATTTTAAGATGGCGGCTGATCTTCAGAATGGCTGCCATTTTTCATTTTCATTCTCGTAATCTTTGGTAACTCAACTGCCGTTCGGTGGGATTTGCTACTCCGTGGAGTTGCTGTTTTTCTAGTTATTCCATATTTAGACATACAAGTTGCCTTCAATCTCTAAGAATCTCAATATCCTCGATATTCCTCGATATCAGTATTTATTGAACAACCCTCAACTTTGAAGTAGTGGTTGCACATTTATGTGATGTTTCTATTTCTATCTCTATTTCCAGTCAAAACAAAGAAGAGTATGAACGCAGAGTAAGGGCCCAGGCCTTGCTATTCAAAGATCAACTATCCAAGGCCTGAACAAGGAGCGTAGTTTTAATGACTCAATATTTATTCCAACAAAAAGAGACACATTCATCATAAAAATGCCATGAAACATCCAGTGGACATTATTTGATCAAATTAGCATTCATGTCGGCAAACATTAAAAAATAAGATGATAATATTCCAGATTCTTTTTCACCTCTATAGCCTTTATGTTGTAAATATTATAATTCAAATTTTTTGTCAGTATATCGTATATAAAAGTTTTCACCTTGAATGAAACCAACTTTAAAGCATGTAATTAATCTAAGGTGCTATATTTGAGCAATAATTATTACACGAGAAAGTCAGGAAGGCATATGCACATCAAATTAAAAATACTGAAAGACCAACTCACACAGATCGAAATTTACTCACTCCAGAGTAATGTTGTATTTCATTGGGTTCATATTTTTAAAAGCAGAAATATGTGCAAAGAAATGCCAGAAAATCTCACGTTTTTTTTCTTATCATTTTCGATAAATGTCATGTAATAAGCATCAGTTTTATCATTTGATAGTAAAAAATATACTCCTAGGTGAATATTTCATTGTTGTGCCTCTAATCTCTTTTCTCAAAATTTCTCAATATTGTATAGGTTGCGGGAAATTCAAAAACTTTAGAGAAAACAAGTTGATGAGACAGCCATTCATATTTTACGTCATACATTTCTATTTTTGTCACATTGTACATGTAATGGTTTAAATTTAATAAATATGAAACATTGTAAATATCTTCAGAAACGTGTGTTTTGTACAAATAATAAGGAAACATGTTAGGACTAGATGTCCAGATATCTTCCCATTCATATATTCTGGTACAAAATCTAGACCCCCACCTTGAATATTGTCCCACAATTTCTGAATGTATCATTCTGTTATCTATCCCAATTTTTTACCTTGAAAATATTCTTGCATTTTTTGAATACTCAATTATCCCAACGAACGAAGTTCGGTAGGGATATAGTGAAGCCCTCCGTCCGTCAGTCAGTCCGTCCGTCCGGAAGATAACTCAAATACGAGTTGACGGATTTTCTTCATATTTAGTGGAAAGATGTATATTGGTGAATAGTTGTACGCAATTTTCAAGATGGCCGCCGCTTTAAAAATGACGGGACTTTTTCGCAAAAACCATAAATTTTTCATTCTAAACCAAAGTAATTAATAATTGTTTGAAATTTTGGTAGTATATTCGCAACATCTATCTATTTCACATATATTCTGTGTTTTTCATCCTGACTCCCAGGGGCCGTGTATGGGGGGTCAGGAAAACAGTAATTTTCGCTAATTTTTAGATCTTTCTGAAGTATAGTTATTATTATTATACTATTATTATTATACTCAAATGAAAGGCAATTAAGAGTAGATTGCAAATATTGTATCTTTTTTCTGATTCGAGCCTCGTAAAATTCAAAATGGCCGTCTAATGTACGATTTCGCAATAATTTTTCGATCCCTTCAAAGTATGGCTATATTATACTCAAATTGAAGGAATTTTGGAGTAGATCACAATTATGGTATTATTCTTCAGATTTGTACCTCAGAAAATTCAAAATGGCTGCTTTGCAGGAATTCGCAATTCTAAAATCTAAAGGACGATTCTCGGTTTGGAGAACAGTCTCCTGGGCTAATAATTTTTTTCATGAAAAATATAGAAATATTACCCAAATTAAACTATGAATATTCAAAAGAGGACATTTAAATCTACAAGATGTAAAGATAACAAATTGGTCTGAAGCAGGGATAATGCTCAAAAAGACCGATTCAATATAAATACAAGTCTCGATTTGGGGAAAGAAGTTCATCAGTGTACTGCGCTAATATTTTTTTGCGAAAAATCTAGAAATATTACCCAAATTAAATTATGACTATTCAAAAGAAGACATTCAAATCTTTATTATGTAAAAAAATCAAATTTGTCCTTTTTCAATTTTAACCAAAGTAATGAGTATAATTGATTGGAATTCGGTAATTGATATTTTGTTCGTTGGGATTTGCTACTCCGCGGAGTTGCCATTGTCTAGTTTGATAAACTAGTGAAAAGCAACTCCCAGGATAAGCAAATCCCACCCACAAATCCCACCCATCAAATCATCATCCTTGACAGCCTGTCAAGGAAGATTAGCTCCCAGGGTTCCAACTCAATATCTTAATCTCCGGGCGATTGTTTCAGGAGATTGCACCTGTATATTTATATGGCTGCAAGAATTTCTGATACATACGATAGCGAAAACAACAACAACAAAAATGTTGGCAATGTCTGACATTATAACTGGCTGAAGTAAATTCAAAATAGCAATCCAAAAGATTCGAACTAATTTATGGTTGACCACTTCTTGTATGTTCTGAAATGTAAGACAATTAAGACCAAAACTCCATATTGACAGAATATTGAGGTGGAATGCTGTGAGCCAATCCTCCTTGGCAGCCTGATCACTTGAAAGACATTTACTATTTATCATGTTGCCATTAGAAACAATATTAACGACTTATATTGCGTCAGAGTGCTTCAACAGCAAAATATCTATTTTATGCCTTAATTAGCAATACTATGACAAATTTAACACCAGAATTAATTTTTAAGACTGCCAGTGTGCAGGCTCGTATTATGATGTACAAGTATTTCTAATTTTCTCTTAGTATGGGACACCTTATGGGGACTGAGGGTAAACAGTTTACCTGTCGTTAAATATCAATTAGTTGCTCAAAAACAATCATCAAAAGGGTCAAATTGATTAATCTACAAAAAATTGATTTTCACCACCAGAAAATGTGATGTTTTACCAGCAGTAAAGTTGAAGAAAAAGGAGTGAAAATATATTTTCATTTTGACTTCCTTGTTTTGTCAAGGATTACATTTGTTTTTCACAGAATTCACATTGCTTTGTACAATATTTTCTTTTCTTTTTACAGATTTATATTTGATATTTGTCTTGTACAGAATTCACTGCTTTTAGAGTATTATAGTACTATTTTTGCTTTGTGCAGAATTCACTCATATTATAGCTTTGTACAGAAATATATTTGCTTTGTACGGGATTATTTTTATGCTTTGTGCAGAATTCACTTTGCATTTAATTTGCATTGCAGTTGCAGAATCATTCATAAAGGATTGGTATCGATAAAGTGAACTTTTTGAACAGACATTTCTCTTAACCAGTCTTCAAAAAATTCTGAAAACTTTACACATCTTCAATGAAAGGTTTATCTTAATTTTTATCTATTTTGGGGGTTTTTGTTTTAATTTTTTGAATGCTTTTTGTTAAATCAACCAAAATTTCCTTTGTATAACTATAATATTGAGAGGTCGAAGAAACTGTTGTATTTTGCTATTTTGTTGCAACAAGGTTTGGAAAGATATTTTATTTCATTCTCAAGAATTGGTAGAAAGGAACAAAAAACAATTGCACTAAAAAACAAAAATGTTAACAAAAACAGTTATATAAAATATATATAAATAATTTTCACATTAAACTGTCAATCAGTCAACATTACATAAAGGACTGTGTTTTTTACAATGTTTTCAATAATTGGTTTAAGAGAAAAACATTGTTGAATTCAGTGCACCATATAGATACCAATCCTTTCAAAGAAACACAACTTATAAAGAACTAGAAGAAAGAGGAAAACAACATGCCTTATTTTCAAGAAAGGTTTATTTGATATTTTATGCAACTATTCACAAATAATGTATAATTCAAGCAATTAAAAACTGTATATCAAACTATATATATATCACTGTTATATATATATCACTAATTTCAAATAACAAAATTTCTAAATACATGTATTACCAATATTTTTCGATTCAATTATTTGGGCACATCTTCGATCACAACTGTTTCTTCAAATGTTTCCATTTCCATGGCAACCTCTACTGACTCTGGTTCCATAGCAACTTGCGATATTGATTCCATTACATCTTTTGATACTACAACTACCTGATTGTTTTGACCTAATTCTGGCTCTCCTGATTGATTAAGAGTGTCAGCCTGTGTTACCATGACAACATGAGTGTTGTTGTCAGGAGGGTTCTCTGCCTGTGTTACCATAACAACCTGGGCATCACTTATAGGAGGATTATCCTGATGCTGCATCTCAATGGGAGCATTCTCCTCTTCCACCTCAACAAAGCTATACTCTACTCCATTGTTCTCCATTTTAGTCTCATCAATAGAGATGACCTCTTCACCAATTGTACTCTCTTGCTGCGATTCTGGGGTTTCTATAGCAACTGTATCCTCTAGAGGAATCTGTATGGTTGAAGCATTCATCGTAAGAGTCTGTCCCGTAGCTTGGTCAAGGAGGGTAATTTGGTCACCAGTCTGGTTAACAACGATGTATGACGTGCCTGCGGGCTCTGTGGTGGCCTCTAGTGAGCTATCAGTATTCGGTCCTTCACTATCTTGTGAAGATATCACGACATCGGAACTCTGGAAACAAATTTTATATATAAGTTGTAGCTGGTGGTAGATTGACATGTATAAAAGTACAAATGGTATCATGAGGCGGATTCACCTTAAAATCTATGTATTTAAATTCATTCTCAATTTAGTTAAGTGGTCTGTTACAAATATTTCTAGTACAGCATCATGCTTTGAGTGTGTATGTAAGGGTTGGAGGAACGGGGAGGGGGCAAATGGATTAAAGCAGGATATCTTTTGTTTTAGTTTGGGGCATTGCCTAATGTTTAAGACTTGATGAATTCACTACTCTAACCTCCGCTTGAGGAACATCATCGACTACAAAATGTGGAATATCTGCTACAACAGAGGAAAATTCTGCCAACAGGCTTGGCTGGTCCTCCCGCCCTTCTTGTACGAGTACAGGCTGTTCCACCACTGTACTGCCTCCCTCCTCAGATGTTGCTTGGTTTAGTACTGGTACACGGAACATCACTTTCCCCTGCATCCTGCATGGCACTGGAAAGTGGAATCGTTCATACATGTATGTAGTTTTACAATTTAAATGCAATGCTTGGGTTTTGGAGTAAGCGCCTTTCTCCGCATTCTGAATTGTACTGAATGATGCAAATATCATCATTCTGTTTTTGCAATTTTAAGTTTTGAAATCTCTTCCAAGTCTTTTTAACGAGAATTTAGGAGAGTTTCATATTTGACCATTCTTTTCTACATGTATCTGATGACATATTTAATTTCCATGTTGAATTTTTTAGAATACTGTTTTTCATTTAAACATATATTTTCTTTCATTTCATCACCAAGAATTATGAACTTTTTGTTGAAAACAAGTCTGGCTAAATTCCCATTGTCACAATGTTCACCAATACGAAAAGTTGATTTTCTCTTTCAAAGATCGCAATATTAGGTTATGTTACAAAACTACGTGTCAACAAAACCTAGTTCCATCAATTTGAAATTTGATATGTTTGAAAAATAAGAAATAAAATAACTTGAAGTTTTCTCTGTGGTAAAGGTATTCCTATTCCACCCTGACCAAAATTGCTACTGCCATGATTCCCCTTACTTAATCCAATAGTTGAAATCCTAACTAAAAATCATCATAATACCTTTAGCCTTAAGGTGTCTTCTTAAGGTCCCATGCTCAGCAAACGATCGCCCACAGTTCCTACATTCGTAAGGCCTCTCCCCAGTATGAGTACGTTCATGTCTTTGAAGAGAACCCTTTTCTCTGAACTGTTTGTGGCAATAGGTGCATGTATAATGTAACTCATCACTGTGTGTCCGGATGTGAACCTTACATGCATTCTGGAATAAAACAATTTAAATGTGAAAATCATTTGAAGAAGATAAAGACATTGTATTTTGTACTTTACGCAATTTATGTTCTAATGCAATTGATCATATCTTATTTTTGGCTAAACTGATTGGTTAAGTAAGTTTTTACCAAAAGTAAATTAAATGTTGTGCAATCAGGCTTCACCTGTAAACAAGTTATCTTACTCTGAAAGCATTAGATATTTTATTCTGAAACCAAAAAATCATTTCACCTGAATTGAGACCCTTCAGCCATATAAACATGAAGCTATGAACTTTCAATGAAAATGTAAATTCTCTAATACTCTTTGTGAAATTACAAACTATCTCAAATTCAATAATCAAAGATTATAACTCAGGTCATTATTTTGATGTTGATCTTAATCATAATTTGAATTACATTTCCATCAGACCCCCAGTCCCTTCCACCCTAAATCTAAAAGTAAACAAACAAAGTCAGAACTTGGGAATTTTTAGAAAATATTCATGGGAAAAATATTGTCTCTCACAGCCCCTTACTGGCACTTTGGTAATGGTAGTGACTAGAGGATGACCCTCCCTTGCTTAAACAAGATTTAAAAAAAAGTCTTACATTAGTTTTGAATCTTTTCTCGCATATAATACACATATATGGCCTATGATCATTGTGGATGGCAAGATGTGACCTCACATGGGAGATACGCTTGAATGTCTTGCCACATTCTCCGCACTTAAAGTTACGCTCATCAGAATGTACGACCATGTGTTTGTTGAGGGTATCCCTGGTTGTGAATGATTTCAAGCAATGAGGACACTTATGTGGCCTGACTCCTGGAAAATAAAATGTTATGTAACACTTACCGATACAACATTTTCAAATCAAAAGTTTTTTTCTACTTGTTTTAAATTTTTTGAAAAATTATAGAATATTATACCTTCTCTTAATATTTAGTTCGGAGCACATAGGTATATCAAATTATCAATCAATATGTACAATGCAACCATGGGCCCATGATGCAACCACTGAAGTTCACAGATTTGTAATGACGTCATTTGATTATCCATATTATGATGGAAACTGATACTATAATGCTTCACCCACTGGAGTGATAAGTTGAAAACTAGCACTGCCATGAGAGTTTGGTTCCAATTGCGTTGTACAGAATTCGAAACTCTTCATCTCAATCACTTCTACTCCCTTATATATATTACCTGTATGACTCCGCATATGAAGTTTCATATAGCTCTGACCTCTGAATGCCCTGGCACATATCGGGCATTTGGATATGCCCTTGGAGCTGCCCTTTATCACATGGGGGGATTGTTCAGCTTGTGGCAGAGGCACCCCCTGCGACTGGTTACTATATGTATGTTGGTCTCTCAGATCAAGGAGCTGTTGGACGGCAATAGCTGCATTTCTGTAACACATTATTGCAACATAACAACTTTGCATAATGTTTTTTTCTCATCGTGCTTAGAATACCTAATGTTACATGAAAAAATGCCTCGGGAAGATGCTCAGTTTGTAAAACTTTGCTATCTTAAGCCCATGTGGGCTGGGTTGTTATTTTATTACTTTTCTTTTGTATTGTACTGAATTAACTGATGTAAATCGACCAATGTAAATAACCCTTAAATTAAACTAAACTACATATTTTGGTCAAACTATTTCAATAACAGATTCTCAGTGAGGTGGCATGGGATTTTTCAATGAGGTGCAGCACCCCAGTGCTCTAATGTTGGGGAGATCACTGGGTTTTATGTCATCAGGTTATTATATTGCTCACTTTGCTTGCTCTTCTGAGTCTACAGGTGGATGGGGAGTCTGTTGTGCCGTAATGTCCTCTGCGACAACCTCCTCTTGTCCAATCTCTAACATAGCTCCATTCTCGTTAGCATCAGCATCCATAGGAACCTCAACTTCTTTATCCTTATGGTCTTCACCTTCCTTAGGGATGTCAGCATCCTCATTATTGTTCTGTTTAGGATCATCTGCCTCATCCGTGTGCATAGGACTGGTTTTATTTAGTTCCTCGTCCTTTTTGTCTGGTTTCACCTAATATTAAAATAAATATTTATGTGTCTATTTAATCTTGGAAAGGTGGCATATTTTAATAATCATATTCTTTTTATCCATAACAATCAAATCGGGCCATGAAACATTATACGCCAATAATGACACCATATCTTTTTCCTTCATTCTACATTCAAATCCACAAAAATTCCATCAGAAATTTTCTCAGAACCACAACTGTGAAATATTGCATTGCAGTCAGAGGGTTTAGGAAGAAAATTAATGATTCAGAGTAGAAAATTAACATGATATTTCAGACAACATACCTCATCAATTTGGGAATTTGATTTTGACGATGCTTCAATTGAATCATCTTCATCCTGAGCAGTTTTGTTTTTATTGTTATCATCTTTTGAACTTATTGGATCTTCGTGAGGTGAAGTTGTACTGTCATTACTCCTGGCATAGTCTATTGATATTATCTGAGTTTTGGCTTCTGTTGTACTCTCCGAGGAAACAACCTTGACCTTGGCTGATTTATCGTGCAGCAAACTCCGGTGTCTAACTTTCTGTTAGAAAAGCAAAACTTTTGTTTTTCAAATATGTATGAGTATATGTATACGAAAAGGGGTCTTATCGCAGATTTTTTGAATAAAGCATATCTTGGGCACATTCTTGACTCTGTCACAATTCAAATTTTTGTGATAGGAAGTGGTCAATAACTTTGGAGGAATATACCGAGTTAAGATATTTTGTCAATATTGCCTGGTATAAACTCACATATTGTAGTTTGATGGGATCTGGCTATAATCACATCAATGAATAAGCCTTAATTGGTACAATAGGTCAAAGACATATACAATGTAGTTATTGCACTTACATTATGTACAAGTTCTATATGCTCCATCAAGGCTTGTTTTTCACTTGAGGCAAACACACACAATCCACAGCGAAAATTCATATTTGCCAGATGGGTGGTTAAATGCTGTTTCAACTCTTCACGGTTTCCTAATGCAATCTTGCATACCTGAAGGTATGAGAAATACATAATGATGTCATACTTTGCAGAAAGCAATGTTTGTAAACAAAACAGGTAGAAGTTATTGAAAATTTGCAATACCGTATTCGCTCTTATAAGCGGGGGAGATGTCTCAAATTACAAAATCTCCAGGGATTTTTGAATGGTATATGTATGGGCAATAATAGGGGATTCCATGATTTCTACTTTAAAACTTGACTTACTTCATAGTCATAGAAAGTATGTTTTATATTCGTATAATACTACTACACATTTATAATGGAATGAATGTTTGTTGTGTGGGAAAAGGTGGAGAATAATTTCTCTAGGTTGGAAAATGCAATGGTGCACTTAAAGTTTCAAATTGTGACTAGAGATCACTTTGGTCAGAACTAACATTCATAAACAGCTCAATCGATAGTGGTGAGTGAATAATTCAATTAAACCTATTATCACTCAACTATTTTTTTCAAATTTTCATTCATGGTTTTTGTTAAGTTGCCAAAGTCTTTCGTGGAAAAATAGGATATGCGTGTCTATTAGAGGAGGGAATACAATAAGTAATATTTCTGCAATAAAATGGCACCATGACAACTAGGTGTCATGATTTACTGGAATTGTCAATCAAAGTATGTCTAACAAATCACATACCTTGCATTGGTTGGAGACAATCACGTTGGACTGGTTTTCTAGTTGTTCCTCAAGCTGCTGAGTTATCTGACTGAGGTCTACTGTAGATGTATCAGTCTCCTCAGCCTAGAAGTATCGAAGGAATTTAAGTATAAAACCGTACTTAATGTACATAATGTTAGCAGATAAGAGCACACTGGAGTTAAATCTTGCACATTTTTTTTTATTTGTGATTTATTTCATAGTAAAATAGAATTATTACATACACATGTTGCGGCTTTGCAATGGAGCATTATAAGCCACAATTGAATAATAACAAGATTTAAAAAAGAAAGTATGACAATGAATTTGCAATAAGCACATTATTATCATCTTGGTTACCGCCATATTTGGTGAACAATACCTCATTGGTATATTCCGCATTTTACGTATTTTACACTCGAAGACAGAGCCAGAAACCCCTCCTTGGAGGAGCCCTACTTTTTTTGTGTGCACAGTAACACAGACATACAAGTACACACCACAGCCTTTTATACGAGTCATGGACCACTCAGTCAACCACCCAGAATTACATAGCGCACAAACAAACTTGTCTGAACTGGGAATCGAACCCGGGGCCAAGCGATATTGGTAACCTTGACTCTGCCACTGAGCCATAGCGGGTGGACATGATTATCACAAAGTATGCGTCACACAACATGAGCATTAACAAGTACTTTGACTGATCAGCTGTGTTTCAACCAGCCAGAAATCTTCATATTCAATAAAAAAACATATTCTACTGAGAAAAGTAATCAATGAAATAATTATGTTAATATTAAGTTAAAATAAATAAAAACATATTTTACTGAGAAAAGTAATCAATGAAATAATTATGTTAATAATAAGTTAATAGCGGTCTTACTTACAGTTTTATCACTAATGACGATCTGGTTTTCTTGCAATACTTGTCCTTGTTGTGGTTGAACCTCAACTCCACCCATAGGGTTGTCAACTCCACCAATAGGGCTTTGTACTTCACTGTTGGGGCTTTGTATTCCATTCTCAGGGGTTTGGGTCCCATCAATAGGGTTTTGAATAGTTGAATCGGGCATTGTGTTTGGATGCACCAGGACTGTCACATGCATAGGACTGGGAGGCGTGGTTGTTTCCTTGTCGGATCTTTGTGTTGAGCAAGCAGGATTGGAGCTAAGTTCTAATTTCTTTCCATATCGCGGAAGCTCCGCGTCACTCTTTTGAGTACATGGCTTTCTGAAGCAAAATGATTTATTTGGTATTCAAATATGCCAAGTGTGTCTCAGCCAATCATCTTTGAGTATTTCAGTGCATTAATTAAAGGCATATGGTCAACCCACCAGAAAAATATTCTTACAAACTACATTTGCACTATAATTTTAAAATGAACTGAGCAGTGCCATTATTGATAAAAGAATGATGTCATCATGTGATCTACTAATAACCTACCCTGATAATTTACACAATTTAAATATATAACAGAAGGCTTTATAGATGTTTCTCTTCTTGCAAAATGTATTTTCCATGATATGATGCGGCTGTTGCCATAGTAGAAATTCAGATTATTCTGTCTCATATATGGGCATAATGTGATGCAAAATTCAAATTCAAACAGTCACCATTTTATACACTTCCACATTTGAATCATGATTTTGGTCTTATTCCCTCACGAAAAATTCCAAAGCTCACAAGAAATGATCAATATTGGGTTGAATCTTTTGGACTGTTTATCTTGAATTTACAGTCAATTATAATTTCAGAAAATAACAACCTTTCAAAGTTTTCATTGCTGGAAAATACTGAGGTTCGATTCTGGGAGCACATCCTCCTTGAGTAGAGTCATATGTCTCAGACCAATAGGCTAAAGGCTCTAAAATACTTTTACTAAATAAGGAATAGAAGGCATGTTTGTATAAGACATTTGCCTATAAAAGGACCAGTTTCAAGAAAATCAGTTTATGTATAAAAGGACCAGTTTCAAGACAATTAGTTTATGTATAAAAGGACCAGTTTCAAGACAATTAGTTTATGTATAAAAGGACCAGTTTCAAGACAATGAGTTCATATATAAAAGAACCAGTTTCAAGACAATTTAGTTTATGTATAGGAAAAATGGATTCGGGAGAATAATATCTAAATCCCCTAAAATGGAGGTTCAAGAACTACAGGTCTCCAACAGCCCCCTCTATGACTTTACCTTGACTTTAGATGTCTTCTTAATGCCCCTGATTCTCCAAATGCCCTTTGACATAACTTACACTTAAATGGTCTGTCTCCTAAAACAAACAAAGAATCACAAAGCATTACATGAAGTGGTTTATTGGATGGTTACGAAACAGTAACAATATGTCACAGATACCAAAGTCTGAGTCACTAAAAATGATGACAATCATTAGCTTGACCTACATATTATTAGTAAGTACATTTTTGGAATGTAGCAATAGTTGAGGATTTTATTAATCCTAATGCAGGGAATCCCTTTTTTAAACATAATTTAAAGAGCTTTGAAAAATTCAATGCAACATCAAAATCACCAATACTTTTGGAAAGCTTATCCCCAAATCTCTGGAATTATTAACTTTTTTAGACAACAGGGCATAGTGGGGAAAAAATTGGTCAGAGTGAACCTCTGCACACATTGATTCTCATGCATGTACCGAAAATGTGTCGTATCTCTGGCTCAGGGTAGTCCAATTAAACAGAGAAACTTTTTTCCCATCCACATACCTACCCACCAGCACACGACAATTACAATATAGCATTTTTCAAATGTGATTAAAATGACCCCTTCCCATGACATCTCATATTTATGTCTGGGTTGTATTTGCTCTGATTTATCAACAGGCGCCCAGCCGATTGAGTATTCTGGTCAAAACTATACAATTCTGAGCAAAATACTCAATCGGCCCTGTGCCAGCCGATAGATCGGAGCAAATGTGACCCAGGCATTACCAGTGTGTCTGCGCATGTGCCTCTTGAGAGATCCCTTGGTCTTGAATGCATAGTTACAGTCTCCAAAGTCACACTTAAACTCTCGCTGATCACTGTGGGTCAGTAAATGGGTCTTCAATATCAGTGCCTTAAAAATAAAGTGCTCAATATAGTATGTATGTATATTTATTTATTTAAGTGCCTCGTATAGAATACCCAGCCTATTTTAGGCTTCTGGGGCACAATGTACAATATAGTACTGGGTGGTTTTTGTTGGATGTATGTTTGGCTTTAATATGGAATCAGTACAAATAAATCCTATATTACATATTAAAAACAAAATATAAAAGAAAAATTGATCCAATGGGCTCTACTAAAGTAAGGGTATGCAATAGATTTCCAAATAGATGACCCATTCAACAATGATTAATACATTATGATAATTAGTTACTCAATGCAAATAATGATATTTATGACAAGTATTTAGGCAACACTTTTTTTATTTATTTTTTTTAATTAAAAATATTTATTCTCTAAATTAAAATCGTATTCATTGATAACATTAGACACTTTTAATAAGCGTATCAGTGTGAAAATATTTAAATAGAAATCTGAGTCACATGGAAAAACACAATTCAGGCAAGTCTTGAAAAAGACTTACCTCTTTGAATGCCTTTGGACACATTAGGCATTTATATGGTCTGTCTAGTTCCCCATCTGCATTAACCCTTTCATTCCCAGGAACAGAAGACATCACAATATTAACTCTTCTATTTCCAGTAAGTATTTCTGGATCTTCGGGCTGAACTGTTTCATGCGACATTCCAACAATGATTTCAGTTGATTGAGTAGTGTTAATTGATTGGCTACCATCACCAGGTTCTTGTTGAGTAGGCACAGTTTGAGTATAGTATGTTACAACAGGCTGAGTGTGTGAGATTTCTTGAGTAAAGACTTGTTCAGTGAGGTGGGGAATATTTACGAGATGCATATTTTGAGGTATTTCTTGAGGATCAGTAGGAGCTTCATATGTGGGATCATCAGCATTTCTGTCATCGTTATCTTCTACTTTGACAGATTCTGTGTCCTGATCATCATCGGAGAATACCTAGAAAGCAGTAAGATTCATATTTCACAATACCCTCTGAAAATACTTAGAGAAATCAAGAAGTCTCATATTTCACATTATCATCTAAGAATACGAGAAATACGTACTTGGAAATCATTAGTTCACAACCCTTCTCTATGTCATCATGAAATTCAAGTATATATTCATTTTATGTGATTCCAAAAATCATGATGGCCATTATTCTCCTGATACCAAACAACTGCCAGGCTGATCGCTTATTATAGATTTAAATTTTGAAATTGTTGTTCCATACACTGAATCAGCATTATTGATCAAGATACACTATCAATACTATAAGTTATTGAATGATTTGAAGTGCAATACAAGATATATTCTGCTCGAGAAATTCTGTATTGGAACGAGACAAAGTCGAGTGCCAATACAGAATATCGAGACAGAATATAACCTGCATTGCACTTCAAATCATTCAATAACATGAAACTCCAGTTGATATATACATAATGGGGGAAGCAGATTTGATTAAAGACTAAAAAATGCTAAATAACTCAAAACATACTTGTGAATTATGATCGTACTCAATGTGCCTTTGAAGAGCTGCATTACGTGTGAAACAACGTGAGCAATGTTTGCAGCCATAAGACATCTTCTCTGTGATTATATTTTCTGTTGCCAATGGTGTTGCTCCAGTTTTTGATATGCCACTCCTGGGTGGTCTACCTACAATGGAAATAAATTGTGCCATTTGCAAGAGGATTTTACTACTCTAAATACTAAAATTTAAATGGTTTAATATCAGCTTTTAAAGTAATGTGTACCAGGGACTTTCCAATTTTGTTTACTTGGGTCATATATAAAGGTTGTTTATAAACTGCTTTACAAAGGGATTGAACTTTACATAAAGTTAGAACTTTTGGATTCATATGAAGGTTATAAATTGTAGAATGCTAGCTTGTACCAGGAGATTGTACTTTACAGAAGGGTACACAGGGAGTTCTATGCCTGGGGGGGGGGGGGTTCACTGTTTATAAATCTTGACAGGGATCCTCGGCACACATGGGGTACCTTTTCTGACATTTGGTATGGCAATGGACCCAAATCTTAGGTTCTGGTATGAGAATGCCCCCAAAATTATGACTTAGTTTTGAGGTATGGCAATGGTTGGATATTTCCACTTTCTGGTAGAGAATGGTCATTCAAAATATGTTACATCTCACTTGTGGTATGGCATTGGTCTAGTTGTTACACAATCCTTAATATGAGGTTGTTTTGGATCATTTTCCTCAAAGATCTGCCTTCTTATTAGGGCTTAAGACATTTTGAATGGCTTTGGTCTTATATCTGGATATTTGGTATGGCATTGGTCCTATATTTGGACATTTGGTATGGCATTGGTCTTATATTTCGACATTTGGTATGGCTTTTGGGCATTATTTGGTTGGTATGGGAACACATTGAAAGTTGACAGATTGGTATGGGAATATATTGATATCTGAGAGTTAAGCCTAGGACCCCCGCCAAATTTTGTATACGGTGAACCCCCGGGATTCTATGTTAGTTAGGTTTGTGCAAAAAAGAAGGTTGTATCAAGGGACTGTGTAAAAAGGTTAAACTTGAGGGCTGAGGCCCAGGAATATGTTTAAAATGTTCGCTAGTGTAATGTTTACATGTATATTACTTGATTACTTACATGTATAAGAATAAGACTAATTTTTATAAGCTTAATGGATAAGAATAAGACTGATTTTTTTTATTAATGGCAGTATACCCGGGCCTCAGCTTGAGGGCTATGCTCAAATGTTTAGTCAATGGTTTGTGTAAATTGAATTTTAGGGAAATTACACGTATGATAAGGATTAGGTTGACGAAGGTAGACACTGGCAATCTGGCATCTTTCTGTTGTCACTTAATCCCCATTCTCCGATAACAGGGCTTCGAAATCCAGAATATATTCTTTCTTTTTACCCCCTGCGATAAGCAGCTAGCATTTCCCCGATTAAGAACTCGCAATCTGATTGGCTGTCGCAACACTGCGACAGAAGTCATTGCGTATAATTAGATCACGTGATTCAGTTTAATTGGGCGCTTCCAAATTGGTTATTGCATGGGGAAGAAGGAGGTACGGATTCTGGATACCTGCTTAGGAGGATGCTTAATCCCTATTACTAAAAATACCTCTTCTCTTTCCTGATGGTGTCAGGGGTTCGGCTTTCACAAGTCTTGGCACAAGGATCTTGGTGTTTTTTCTCTTAACTCGATCATATACAAGCTTTGACTCTTGGTCTTCTTCCATCTTGTGTTGTATGAATGAATACAGTGAGTTGAACGTCTCTTGACATTTCCCACATGTGTGGACATCTCCAGAGTTCCCCTCCTGGTTGTCTTGTTTCTCATCTGAAAATGTATATGTTTTCAGTAAAACTTGTATATCCACAGTAAGTTTGATTTGGGCTTGCCAAGTGTCCCTACACAGAACTAGCCCTATACTCAAAGTTTCAGCCATGTCATTTTGAAAATTGTACTCTCACACCGGAATAGCCTGACAATGGTAAAGTCAGATACCGTTGTCACAAATGGCGGACATAACCTTCGTTTCAATTGAATTTTCATGAACTGTATGTTTAATAGAGTGACTAGATTAAATTCCTTTGGTACAGCAATCAAAGTCTTTTTCTACTGTTTATATAGTTAAATATGTTCTACCATCGAAATAAAGGCTTTAATTTTAGTGATTGGAATATGACACAGGACAACGGATACTGTATAAATGACAACAATAGGTGTGGGTCAAATGTGATGTAAAACGGTATATGTAAAGACAATGGTAAAGTGTTTATTTACGATTGTCATTTTCCTATGTTCCATTATGCAATACATCCACCATAGTCTGTTGTCACATCTGACCCAGGGGTAAAAACAGTATTTCTTCCATTCCAGTTTTATACCTGCCTAATAATGACATTCCTGCATGCTCCAGCTTGGACAAATCTAATATGCTCATGAAATACTTTGTACAGAAAAATCTGATTGAAAATAATGCAAATCTTACACCTATTTTTCCAAGCAGAACCAATCAAATACTCCAAAACTTCAGAACTTCACAACAAGAGGTCTTTGAACTACTTAACGAGTTGGATGTACATAAATCTCCTGGTCCTGATGAAATCTCAAACAAGATGTTAAAAATGTGTGCCAGCTCTTTTTCATTACCAGTAAGCAATCTATTTAATAGAATACTTGACAAGAATATTTTTCCAGATATTTGGAAGGAGGGAATAGTTATTCCAATTTACAAAAAAGGTGACTCAACCATTGCCTCCAATTATAGACCTGTAACTCTCCTAAGTACTTTGTCTAAAGTTTTCGAACGCATTATTCATAGACATTTGCTTTCTCATCTTCTCGAGCACAATCTCTTGTATAAACTCCAAAGTGGGTTCTTACCTAAACATGGAACAACAAATCAACTAATAAATATTGTACATGATCTTCATCAACATATTGATAATAAAGAGCATATACGCTCAATCTTCTTGGACCTGAGTTCAGCTTTTGACGTGGTCCCGCACAACTTATTGATAACTAAATTAAAAGGCTATGGTTGTAACAACAATTTTATTAATCTCATTAAATCATACTTAAGTGATAGGCGTATCAGAGTCAAGGTCAATAATAACTTATCAGAATGGTCCTCTGTTCAACATACAGATGCTCAAGAATCAGATACACAAATACATAATAACAACCCTCAGATCAAGAATTATAAAATTAACGCAGGAGTTCCTCAGGGTTCAGTATTGGGACCCCTCCTATTTTTGATATATATCAACGACTTACCGGATGGTCTTGTTTCAAAGACATTCATATTCGCGGATGACACCTCACTCCATAATCCTTTTGATGTAAATGAAATATTTCTCGATATTCATGAGCCCATTCAAAGTGATTTGGACCACTTAGACCATTGGGCTGCAACTTGGAAAATGTTATTTAAAGCACAGAAAAGCGCTGATTTGATATTCACTGGACATAGAAACATTAATATTGAACCTCCTCCTCTGAAAATGAACGGGGAAATAGTCCCTAGATGTAATACTCATAAACACCTCGGACTTACTCTTGACCAGCACCTAAACTTCAAAGCTCACATTGATCAATTAATTAACAAAGTAATAAGCCTGATGAGGCCCATGAAGAAACTCTGCAAGATCTTGTCAAGCAAGCACCTTGAAACTTTATATAATGCGTACATACTCCCTCATTTTGACTATTGTGACATCATATACAATAGTGCATCAGATACCAAATTGCAATCTCTTGAACGGTTACATTATAGAGCAGCATGTCTAGTCTCTGGAGCAATCCATGGCTCGAACACTAATAAAGTTCTCTCATCAATAAACTGGAAAACTTTATCCTCTAGAAGAGAGGAACATCTCAAAATATTTATTTTTAAAGCAAGATATAATAACTTTCCTCCTTTCATTTGTAATCTTGTCAGGTCCTATGAGAATGATATACAAGTGCGCTCATTAAGGAGCCACAGGGACTATAAGATTCCCCTTCAAACAAGCGCTTTGGCTAAGAAATCTACAATTTTTAAAGGTATGGCCCTTTGGAATAACCTTCCACCAGATTATAGAATTGGTCAGCCAATTTCAAGATTTAAAAGAATAGTAAGAGGCGATGGAAGCCATGCTTCTACCCTATCAACGTCAAAACTAAAAAATGCCATGCCTCGCTACTTAGAAATTCCTCTAAACCGACTCAGGTCCGGACTTCTCTTGCAAGCTCACCTCCATGCACACAACTTTGAACGGGTTGCTAATCCTAAATGTTTATGTGACAATATAAACCAGACAACTTTACATTTCCTGTTGAAATGCCCTCTGCTGACAGAACAGAGAACAACACTACTTGCAGGATTTGAGACGATAGGGATCCGTACCCACTATGATGGACTTAATATGCATGATCAATCCCAGTTCTTACTTTTTGGAGATAATAAATTTCCAGTAGATGTCAATGAGAAACTAATGAACATAGTAGCATATTATATCCACCAGGGTCTAGATCTTTTGGACATGTAATCGATTACAACATGTTACAACTGAAATCCCTCTGGCCAAGGGAAAAAACCTAACACATCTTTGTGATATACGAGTGTAGTGTGATGATATTTTATTGACTTTTTCTTTCATCTATTTTAACAATAACATGACATAAAAATAACTTATTATGTAAAAATTTAATAACATTCCTTTGGATTTCACTCAAAATTGCCGACAATGTCACTAGACTTTGGCAATTGTTTAAGTTTGTACAGCCTTATTTTATGGAATATAATAAAGATGATTAATAAAAAAAAAAAAAAAAAAACCAGGGGCGGATTCAGGATTTTGTATTAGGGGGGGCATGTGATGACAACTGTGAGCGAATTAAAAAAAATATTCAAATTTTGTAAAAAGCAATGAGGCAAAACACAAATTTTCCAACTTTTTAGGGGGGCGTGCGCCCCCCACGCCCCCGTCTAGATCCGCTGGTGTGACCATATGCCGGTGTCTTAGTAAATTATTTCAAATTCAGATTCTGTTGTCATTGATGATATCGAGACCCTATATTGTGGCTATTCATGACCCCATTTGATAGAAATTGGGATTTCATATAATACATCATCACACAAGCTTAACACATACAAGAATTATCGACGATAAAAAAAGTCCCATGGAACGAGGACCAAGTGATTAAAGAGTTGAAGCAACGCTTAAGTCCGGCATTTGTGACATCGGTATCTGACTTAAGCATTGTCAGGCTATTCCGGTGTGACTCTGCATTACTCGAGTCTCTAGCCAATACTTGGCTAGAGGGGATTTCATCTGGAATACTGTGAACTCTATTTGAAAAAAGCATGCCGGGGTGTCATAAATTTATTGAATATTTTAAAAATCGCCAGATAAATAAATCATTAACCAAACCGGACCCAGCTCGGTTCCTTGATGAGATATTACATGATTTCATCAGGATTTCGTCTAAAATTAAAACAAAATGGCTCCAAGAAAAATGGTGATGTTCGAAAACTGGACGAAATGTCATTAACGTCTGACATTAGTAACTGGCTGTAAATTCTAAGTTAGCGATCCAGAAGATGTGAACTAATACACTGATCACTTTATGTGTGTTTTGGAATTTTTGGTGAGGTAATAAGACCAAAACTCGCAATTCAAATTGTGATGTGGAAAAATGGCGGACATATGATTTCAAATTTTATGATTACGACATGACCAGTTGTTCATGCAGAAATATATCTGTACTGGAAGGCCACGATACAGTGGCCTTAGAAGAAGGTAAACTCTGCACATGTTCGATCTAGAGAAGCATTAGATCCAGGCATTAGATCTACAAGAGACCACACATTTTATAAGTCAAACCACAACATCAAGATATACAAAACGTTTTATGTGTAGATAGGAAAGCATTTTTCCATATGCTACTGCACTGTGGTCTTTTGATTGCTTGAAATTGGGAGATTGAGCTGATAAAATTGAACAAAATTTGTCTTGAATTTGAGTCGATTCTGTGTGAACAGAAAGTCAGCGGACGATTTTCAGAGTTACTCAGTCAAACAGCTCTACTTAACCTTATACCTGGGTAGAAAAGATACCACGTTATACATGTAAAACAATTACAAACATGGTAAAAGTAAAACTAAAGTTAAATGTTTACCTTTTCCCGCTGAATTGCCAACATCGGGTACGATGTCGTTGGCGGACATTGCGACAGTCTCTGACCTAGTTCCAGTGCGCATCTCCATTGCGCAGTCAGGTGCCCGGATAAAGAAGAAATCAAAAAGTAAGAAATATTATTTATTTCAATTTTTCTTCGCATTTAACCAACTTAAAGTATTCTATTACCTTACAAATTGAATAGATTAACCACTGGCAGTAAACCAATCACGTTGAATCAAGATTTTGCGCATCTTGTTCAACTTTATTCTTGAGTTCCAAATTGCCATAAATGGCCAGAATTCAATGGATGATAGATATCTAGTTATCCCGTTCCCGGACTATAGTCCTGCACTGAGCGCATTCATTTGCCTGTACGATTACAACTTGGGAGAATTATCTACGCCCCTTACACTTAAGATACCTACCTCAATGCATTATAGAACTCAAGATGTAACTTCTAATATATTGGAACCGCCGATTGTCTGGGTATATCGGCAGAACGGGAACATTTTCTCTTTTTCAGCGAGAGAGATTCCATCACTTTTCAAAATGGCGGTTGGATTTAAAAGGGGAATCCCCCGTTTGGCTGTCCCGGGTGTAGCCCGGAAGTACCAATATGGAGGAATTTGACGGTTGAAATAAGTTAAATGTTACACGCAAATATTGCGATCAAAAACGAAAATGTCTTCGTTCTGCCGATAAACCCAGACAATTGTGGATTCAACTACACGAAAAGAATGCTAAATTACCAAGGAATCTATTGAAGTAGGTATCTGAAGTGTAAAATCAGTAAAAAATTCTCCCATGTTGTAATCGCACAGGCAAAAGATTGAGATGTTCACAGGACCATAGTCCGGGAACGGGATAAGATGATAGCCTTGTCTATTCTATGATTTAGAAATTTTAAAACACTCCCCGATGTATTCAAACTGAGAGTTCAGAATATTACATACCAAACCCTGATGACGCCAACTTGGAGTATCCCGGGGATGTTAGTATGTATCCAACAGACCGAATATAATATTTGGTCTGTTATGATTGATACCCCTGGCATGGAAACCTCGGCGATATTTTGTGCACTTAAATTTCTCGTTTATTACAAGAATGTTCACCTTGAAAATTGTTGAATATGTTGAAGAGATGTTCATCTTAAACTAGAAGCAAAAATATTTGTATAAGGCAGGTACAAGTTGATATAAAATAATGAAATGTTCAGACTCACCAAAACTTCAGGATGTGTTCATAAGTAGATCGCGAAATCAATGTCAAGGACGTTTGAGTTCACGAGATCCAAACGAGATATGCAAATTTTTGAACTTTGACAACACATGACCACTTGATTACCTCGGCCTTCTTCATGAATATTTCCGCTCTATTTACTATAAATGACGAAAATTAATCGGGATAATGATAATAAATGACTAGATCTAATAAATTCCCGCACAAATGGAATTTATCAATACGCTTCCGTAATGTTGCTCCATCCGCTCCACATGTTATTTGTTTACAAATAAACTGACGTCACTGGCTATATCTCGTTTATCCTGAGAATTGGCATTGCCAAAATGGCTTGACCTAATCAATGGCTTCGCTACAAGAAGCGCCTGTACATTTTATGAATATCTTCAGTAAGAGGACAATATACCAAAAAATAATATTGTAAGTTCTTTATAAGGTAATCATTTTATCATTAAACAAACTTATTTGTAACATTTATACAACACCACATTTTACAATAGGTGACTTACAGTCTGAATTTATTCAGACGAAGGATACAGTCTACGGGGGATGTATAGGGTTAGACTACTTCATCCTGGTGTTATTTTGACCAATTGCCCATTCTCATCTACATCTATCATACTATTTAGAACTGATTTTGAGCAACACAATATTAAGATTAGTTTACTTATTTTCGGAGGTCAACTTTCTTGGATCAAGATTTTGCCCATATGACATTTCAATACACAGTTGAAATAGCCTCATAACAAAATGATCACAGTCACCACATACATTGTACATCAAATCTCGAAGTCTCGATGGAGGACAATAAGATATGAGGTTCCTCTGGCTAGCTAATCTGGCTTAATATATGACCCAAATATAAATCGCTGATTATGTGACTGAAAAATTATTTTCAAAAATGTTTTAATTTTGATTTTTTCCAGTTTTAAAAAGATCATGGCTACGGAGACTGCTGCGAATGGCCCAGGTGCCAACAAAACTTGGGAGCTGAGTCTCTATGAGCTACATAGGACTCCCCAGGAAGCTGTCACCGATAATACTGAGATTGCTGTTTCACCTAGAAGCCTCCATAGTGAACTAATGTGCCCAATATGTTTGGATATGCTAAAGAATACAATGACAACAAAAGAATGTTTGCACAGATTTTGTCAAGATTGTATTATTACAGCTTTGCGAAGTGGAAATAAAGAATGCCCAACATGTAGAAAGAAATTGGTATCAAAAAGATCACTACGACCTGATCCAAATTTTGATGCACTGATATCAAAGATTTATCCCAGCAGAGATGAATATGAAGCACACCAAGAACGAGTTCTTGCCAAGCTAAACAAACATCATAATTCAAATGCTCTCACACAGAGCATTAACCTTGGCATCCAGTTACAAAATCAAAATCGGGCTCAGCGTGTTCGGAAACACAATGTCCAAGACAGTGACAATAAAAGTGACAGTGGGCGTGAAGGTGCTATATCGAATGATCCGACACCAAAAAAGCGCCAACGGACAAATTCCAATGAATCAGGGGTCTCGGGAGCATCTGCTAATGCTCCATCGGAAATAGTAGAAAATGTTGTCGGTGATACTGAAGCACCCAACACTAATTCTGTTGATCCTTCTGGAAATACAGATGAGGCCACTAACCAAGCTAATGATCCAATTGATGATACTGAAGGTCCACAGAATGATACAGAGCCCGAGGCTGATGTGTCTACTGAACAAGAAAATCCTGATGGTCCTGTCATTGCAGATATCGAAATGGTTTTCAAGCCCCATCCAGATGAACCTAAGTCTGATGATCCGTCAATGTTCAGATATCTTAAGACTTCCTGCAATGCTTCAGGTACACTTTAATGGATCAGTGAGCTTTAAAATTGAAACTAGAAACATACAACTCTGTACAGTTCAATGTGTAACCAAAATATCACATGATTGTTCATTAGCATTTTATAATTACTAGATTAGAATACAATTATGAGATTTAAAGGTGAATTTTAAACTCTTCAGATATCCTCTTGATAAGGTCCTGAGGAATATAATGAAAGTAATTATATGATCAATGTTGTAAAAATGAATTTACATGTATTTTATAATTCATTTTCAGTGGAACACTTGTCTCGCTACTTGGCGATGAGGCTTGCTTTGGATGATGAAGCAGATGACCCTGGTATGTCTAGTCTTAGTCAAATTCTATTTTAAATTAAAAATGTCAATGTGAAAAAGAAAATTTAACAGAATTACCCAGAACTAATTTTAATCAAACAGTATACTCTTTCCTTTTCACAAGAAAAGACCGGCTCTTAGTGCATTAACTGCCAGTTTATTACTCGCTAGCCATGGGCCTGTGTATGAGGTACAAAGCTACAGCTTGTCAAAATGTCGTTGAAGCTTTCCAATATGCATATTCATATATCAGTGATCTCCCCAGCATTAAAGCAAGTGGGCGCAGCACCCACCTGAGATTTTAAAAAAGCCTTGCACCCACCTGAAAATCCATTTGCACCCACTTGAAAATGAGAAAAACCATGAAAAGTGAGCATATTTTGACCAATTTTAGTGTGAATTGTGAAAATGAGAAGTTTGCACCCACTTGAGAAAAAAATCCTGTGGAGAACACTCATATGTTTACAATATTCTAAGCCCAAAAATAAAAATATGCTTGACTTTTTCAGTTGAGGCGAATCGGCAAGCAGAAGAGAGTGTATACCACATCTTTATAGTCTCCCAGCCTGGCACATTCACAATGATTCCCATGCAGATGACGCTGGAAACAATCAATGAAAAATACTGGAAAACTAACAAGCCGTTGGAAATGTATTATAAACTGAAGAGGGATGATACACCAGCCCCAGAATAGATACAGTTACTCTGATCAGCATTATCCTCAGCACACTGCCCTCTGACTTTAAACAGTTAAACAAATTAGAGGCTTCAACAAATTTTGCAGCTGGTTTGGATCTTGGATGAAAATAATTTGAATTAAAATAATTGAAATCATTGTTGTTGCTTAGCCAGAGTGAGTTCAGATGTATTTCGCTAATTTAAAAGTAGTTGACAATATTGATCAATCTTGTGAAGCTCTAAGTGGATGGAACAGTAATCTCGCCTGCATTGGACATTGAACTTAAGCATTGCTTTCTTAAAGGAAAGTTGCCAAAATGGTGCACTCCTGTCTATAGATAAACTCTTGTTATGTCCAACAAGGTTTCCTCGGAGACAACGCTATGTGTATGGCAATATTTTGCTTCTGGACATCTCATGTAAATTGAATGAATATTGTTACATGAATATTGTAGTTGACTGTGGAAATAGAATATTTTTCTTCATTATAGATCTTGTACATGTATTTTTTTGTTTTATTCATAAATTCAGTGAAATAAACTATCCTTCTGACAATTAGCCTTGTGAATTACTTACATGCATTAGTTAGTTATTACCACCACCAGTTGGCAAACTCTTATAAGATAGACATGACAAGGAATGATATGAGCCCAGAATATTCTAAAATTTAAACAATTTTCGTCATAATGATTCTGTAAGTACATTCTGGATAGTTAAGACAATGTTAAGCGACATGTGCTCTCCTCCTACCATTGACCCTTATAACCAGGTCATAAATCAAATTCGAACCTATACTGCCACATGTTTTTAACTAATTGGCAGTTAACGAACTGTACATCATTAAATTGGAATAAAGAAAGGAAAACAAATATGAACCATCCAGGGCCGAGAATTTGTATGAATCAGAATCCAAACCGGATAAATTTTGTCATGGTAATGATGCATTGTGGGATTAATCCTAGAATTAATCCAAAAATCTGTGAATTCCTACGATCCTGGGATTAATTTCAGAATAAATCTCAATCTACCTCTTGAGGTGGATTACTTTTTGGATAAATTTTATCCGAGTTTCAATGTAAATTGGATAAATCTTGGGGGTTCTCCCTCATAATCCTTGGATTGTACAAATTCACCTAATATTTATCGGATTAGTATTAGGATTAGATTCATATAGATATACAGGGTGGTCAAAAAAACGGAAACCCTGCATTTTCCTCATATCTTTGTCATTTTAAAAAATTACTCCCTGATATTTCACACATTTGTAAATCATTCAATTTCCTACTACCCTGTATATACCCTACCATATTTCATCAGACTGATAGTCACAATTTTACAGCACTTTGAACAACATGCTCCAGACTTGGCATTACTGCGCTGCAGGCAAATCTGCACAGTTGTCAATGATCCAAATGCATTCCTCAGCAGGTATGGCCTGAATGATACAGATGATCTCACTTTTGAGGTCTGCAATTGTCCTGAGGTCATTCTTATACACTCTATCTCTGCCATATTTCCATAGGTAGGGACATTTTGGACGACATGTGCAGGTTTCTCTATACCGCAATAGTGGCCACCGGGAATGTTCTTTAAAGTGCTGTAACACTGTGACTATCAATCTGATGGTCATGAAAGAGGGTAGGCATATAGGAATTTGAGTGATGTACAAATGTGCAGTTATTTCTTAAAATGACAAAGATATTATGAAAATTGTGTTAGGGTTTCCAGTTTTTTTGACCACCCTGTATATTCCTGTAGATGATTCTCCTTTGATTGTCAATTCTGCAGATATTTTCAATGAGAGAGGGGCCGGACATGCCTGATAGAGGATTATCATTAAAGAATGGGGGAATCTCCTGAATAGGATTCTCTTTCATAAAAACAAAGAAAGACTAAGTCACTTTATAACATTTAACACTATATATTGTTATTTGATATTTTACAGCCATGAAATATATGCATGTACAGCAAAATCAATTGGCAACTATATTCTCTGTAACAGGATAACTGTGTAAATGCACAAAGAATGAGTAGTAAGTAACGTATATATTCACTAACTTGCAAGTTGTTATCTAAAATTGACATTTCATTTTTGTTACATTTTGAAGTTAAAAGAGTCAGAACATTAAAGTGAAGAAATAATATTACAAAACATTTTAATGATATATTCATGGCCAATTACAATGGATGTTAAATTCATTCAAAAATGTACACCAGTATTTATTATACTAATACAATTTTATGTCAACTGTTTTTACAAATCGGTAAAGAGCCTAAGTCTGTCTGTTCAATGGCTAATTATTTCACCAGTGATCTCCCCAGTATCTTTTGTCAGGTGGGCGCAAATTTTCTCATTCTCACAATATAGACCAAAATTGGTTAAAATATGCCAATTTTCTTCATGATTTTTCTCATTTTTTGGGTGCAAATGGATTTTCAGGTGGGTGCAAGACTATTTTTAAAATCTCAGGTGGGTGTTGCACCCACTTGCTTTAATGCTGGGGAGATTACTGCATGAATGTATGTTCCTCACACTGACTCTGACTGGTCCATAATGAGTGACAAATAAATGAGCCAATTAGACGGTTGCATTTTGCATTGTGTCCCCTTGTGTAAAAATATTGGAATAAAAAAGTTGCTGTTAACTAAAGTTAGCAAGTTGCCATTGTTTAGTAATGTAATTTTTCTGACAGTTGCATTTCATGAAAATACATGAACTTGATAACATACTGATATGCTAGGCTATTCACAAATTATTATTTGTTTAAATAATGATTTACCACTACAACCCGTTTATATCGAAACAACAATGGGATATACTGTACAGTCACTGATTAGATTTGACAAATTAAGCCAATCACAAAGTGTACCGATTTCATTCCTGAGCTTGGCTTTCAGATTTTCTATAACGAAAATTGATGAGCTCTCAAGATAGAAACACAGATATGGGCTGTTTTGAATGATCCATTTTTGATTCAGACTATATTTTGATCCATTGCTTGGCCAACTGCAACCTGGAGCCAGTTTCTAAAAATATCCAGAATCAAATGATTTATGAAATTCAATATTTTAGTTTTTTAGTTTTTGACATGGTAATAATCAACTTTGAGATATGAATTTGACGAATTGCAATCTAACATTCCCCTTCAAACAGCATTTTTGGAAACCAGATTGATTTGCTTTTGATAAAACAACCATACATCTTACACACTAAAATCATTGTAATATATTTACTGTTCAACTTATCTATCTTGATACATGTATATACAAAGTTAAGCACCAGAGCCAACAGGTTAAAAAGGGAGAATCAGATCAAGTGAGTGGGCTTTACAAAAAATTGTTTCAGTTTGAAAATATTTTTGGATCATATCATTCCTTGTCATGTTTTTTTTTGAGAAATTCCCAAAGTGTATACTTTATTTGAGGAGAAAGAGTTTTTTATGAATTTTTTCCCATTTTTGAACTTTGAATCTTGAATAACTTCACCAATTTATACCACATAGCGGATCTTTTGGGAGATATTGTATTTTATATCATATGAAATAGATATATTAGTTGGTCAATTGTACATGTTGCTTGGAATTTTGTCACCCCTATAGATCTGATTCTGCCTTTAACAAACATAGTCATGTACTTAATATTTTGATAAAATAAAAAGTTCAAACAACTTGATTCAATGAAGTTTCACTTACAATATGCTTATGATATTTCTATAAAACAATATCTATGGTAGATTCTCCATTAAAGTTGTTGACCATATTTTATATACATCAATTTACATTGTAAATAATATTATTCACATATGTACAAACTCACTGTGGAGTACTTGCACCCATAACTACAGTTATTGGAACACAATGGAGGTAACATAGGTGGTGTGGTTAACACACGTCAAAAATACTTTTATACACTTATTTTAGTTGACGTTACTTTTAAATGAAAATTGTAAGTGTATGAAAAATACTTCAATACAAGTATTGGTCTACATTAAGGTGGGTAAAATAAGTAACCTGGCTGAACTTTTTACAAAAAAGAGGTAAAAATGTGGCCTCATTGAGTTTACCTTAACCATAAAAAGGGGAGAAAATATCCCACAATCCATATATGAATCTCCATGCAAGATGACACCTATACACAGAGATATATTCATTATGAATTATGGGATATTTCCCCTCTTACCATAAAATTAAATACCAGACCTACTGGTCACAACAGTCAAATTCTAATAACAAGTAATATAATATGGTGAGAACAATGGTTTAACTCTCACTACGAAAATTCAAATTTTGTGCGCATATGCTGTCATTACATTTGCTCCGATTTTCAGCACTCTGAGCACCCGGCTGATGATATTTTCATCGGTCAGGCGCCGGTGTTGAAGATTGGAGCACATGGGACCATGGCATTATAATGGGTCTTTTGCATAAATGGTAAATGCTTTCAGTGAAGTGAGGGAAGAATTTGACTGACGCAGTTTCGCAAAAAACACAAAAATTTTGTAAATGTTCTCAAAAAATTAAGTATTTGTAAGCAGCAATTTGAAAATAAGAACCAATCTAATATGACCATTGGGACTGTCAAGTGATACAGATATAAAATTTATCTGTAATTAATACATGTACATACTGATTTTTGTGGAATATGTATGATTAATCATAAATCCTAATAATTTGGGGAACCCCATGGAGTATGACCAAAATTCTATGTAAAATTAGATTCGATTTATCCCTCTGTAGGTGGATTCATGATATCCTTTGAATTCATCAATCTCAAGATTTTTTCAATGAATCCCACATTGCATCATTGGAACAGAGAACATCTGGTTAAATTGAGAGGTTGTGTGAATTCACGACCTGCCCATTCACTTTGCTTTTTTCTAATTGACAGAGTCCCCTGATTAGAATTTATGTCAGATATTACTACACAGAACAAAATCAATTTGTGATATACACAATAGAGAGAAGGCCATAATCGCAAATTTTTAATAATCTATGAATAAAAAGTGTACCAATTTCTGGCCCACTTTGTCGTTAAATACACATATATACACATGTTCCTCGCTGCGTCAAGAATCCAGTGATCTTTGCCCATATAAAGAGGTCTACTCGATATCAGTTCAATGAGAAAACCGAACTTCTCGTCTTTTTGATTTTTTCTCACTGTTACTATTGTGCTCAGATACTTTACGTTTCTTTTTCGGTGGCTTTTCTTCCTTTTCAGCAACTTCTTCTTCACTGTTTAATTCCTTGGCATTAAGATAGCTACCATTGGGCAGGCAGAAACTGAAATAAGAAAATCATTGGTTCTTCTGAAAGAATTTTAAATAGGCCTTTGGACTAGTATGTAATTTTTTCATAATCTGATCATTAGAAACTATAAAGGTCATAATGAGAAAAGTGGCATGCTGCTAAATTATAGCATTTTAACATTTCACTATTGTTGTACATGTAGAAGAAAAAGAATATGTGCAAATATGAGACTCGATTTCCTCAAAAGTTATTATAAAATTATTTTTTTAGGTTCATGATTGAGATAGCTAATGATTATTTTTTTTGAACATCGAGGTTGACTTGTCCAAACCAGTCTAATTTCAAGTTTGCAGGGCAATGCTGTACATATATCAATTAATCAATTTAACCAAATTTGATAGCAAATTGTTACTTGTAACATTTTTTCAACTATAATTATTACAATGATGCCCAATAGTAGTACTTTATCTCCTTAAGCGTAAATATTTCATCTATTTTTAGAGGCTGGCTTTGTGTCACAGTGAAATTTTTTACCTTCTAACAGGTGCTTTTACTATACGCTTGCTTGAAGAGCTACCAGGACTACTTCTCATTCCTCCTGTTCTGGGGCTATCCCTCTTTGCTGAGTTGCTACGGCCTAAAATGACAGAGAATAATATGCTTAAAAAACATCTTAGCAAACACCTTTCTCTTGTGAACAACTATCTCTACATTTAACTCATTTTAACTGGACATTTAAATTCAAGGTAGTGAATTTCAAAATATTTCTTATTGGGTGCATTCTGATGTCCCTAATGATAACCACGACCACATACTGTTTGACATGAATCTTGGACCAAGAATGCCTATGTATGACTGAATGAATCTAACAACAGCATGCGGAAACCCAGGTAGATTTAAACTTGCAGTCCTAAGTACAGGGTGTTCATAAAGTTCTTGCAAAAGTCTCAGTCAATCTGGCTGAAATTTTCACTCAGTATACCTACAATATTCATACATTGAGATCCTAAGTTATAATTAATAGGTTATGGTTGCTATAGTCACATGAATTAGGGGTAGGCGGAGCAGGCAAAAAGGATCTGTTTTGTTTGAATGTTTGAATTGTTTTTAACTTGTACTATTTACTTTAATAACATTCATTATTATTCAAGTATTAAATGTATGAATAGTGTAGGTATACTGAGTGACAATTTCAGCCAGATTGATGGAGAAACCAAAAAATCTTTTGTACTTTTGCAAGAACTTTATGAACGCCCTGTAAATAGTCCATTTTAGCCACTGGCTTTTTCACAAAGCATACATAGTATATAGCATTGGAGTTGTGTCAACATCTCAAATTCCTGAATCCTTCATTAATTTTTCCAGTTTATTTAAAATGTACTAATCATCCCAAAATGACTGAGTGTTTTAGATATCAATTACAGCTATTAAGACTTACCATGGTATTTATAATCATCTTCAGATTCCGAGCCTGAATCTCGATACAAAAATGAGTTGCTTTTGCTGCTTCGCTTGCGGGGCTTGGCACCCACTGAGGCACTTAGAGGACGTCTGATTGGATCAGGGTCGCCAAGCCTTGGCGCATCATCCGGCACTCTAAAGAATAAAATGAGACATCATTACACGTACATTAATATATAATAATATTAATATTGTATATTAATTATTAAATAAACAAATACATGTACATCATGAATATAAGGAAATCTTCATGGTTTGCTTTGCAGACTCTAGAGCACCACCACTACCACTGCTTGTATTGTGTATTGCATTTTCATAAATTCTCTTTGCAGGGGTTTCACTAGAATATCTCACAACAGGCTAAATACATGAAAATAACTGGCAAAATTAATGGAAATCGTAAATATAACATGGACAAGTTGAAAAGTCCCTAAAAACAAAAATCGATTTTGTGAAAACATCCAGTGAAAATCGCCTGTTGCCTGCTGCTAATGAAATCCCTGCATTGGATTGATTAAATGCACTTGGTAATGCACACTGGACTGTTTATAGATGTGGTTGTAAATTGCATAAGCTTCAGAATATGAAAAGGTAACTTCACAATTATTTGGTGATATTTGTCTCATTTTCATCTAGAACTGCTATATTTGCCATTTGTGCTTCTTAGCAAGGCTCAAGTAATTGCATCAATGACAAATTTCTCAATAATTATGCTGGATAGATAACTGTTATTGCCGAGCCTACCTGCGCAGAATGATGACAGCCCTTCTCTTGGTGACATCTTGAGGTCTGATACAGTGGGTAATCTCATCTGCAGCGTATCCACTGAAAATACAAAATAATTTGATAAAACACATGGCTATTACACCATATTTGGTTAAATCAAATGCAAGCCCATCACAACATATATAGATAAGAGACAAGGCCATCAAAAAATAAAAGCCCAGTTTTTCCAGATTTCAGATTCAGATATTTAGTACTATTTTGAAAAACATACATTACATTCAATACAACATGACGCTCTCAAGTGCATATATGTTGGTTTTAACTGGACAGAAATGGGTCAGTGCCGCCAAAAGGTAAGACATTTTCAAATCTTTAAAATTATAAATGTATGTCATTTATTTTATTTTGTTTGAACAGAGACTTAAAAATTGAGAGAGGCTGCTTGTTGAATATGATATATGATATAGAATTCCAGATTTGCTGACCTTGAACTTTCAGTGAATAGAGCCCAATATTTGTGAATGTCTAGTTTGATGTCGATGAATGTCAACATTTAAAGTAAAATAGTTTTCACAAATCTTGCGGTGGACTGATATAATATACCAGCAATTAACAAAAATTACAACATTTAATTGATAGATATCATGGCATTGGAAGTATTTCAAATTGTTTGAATAGTAGAGAAGTAGACCCGAGTGCTCAAACCTGTAGTTCAAAAGACAAGAGCAAAGCGCCATCATGTTTAGCTAGGCATTACAAAAGTTCAGCCATTATATTGGCCGTTGGGCGGATGAATTTTGAGCCCTGGTTGTACATTCAGGGGTTTCATTAGCAGCAGGCAATTTTCAGAGGTTGTTTTCACAAAATCGCCTGTTGTTTTTAAGGACTTTTAAATGCTAAAGGTCATAAAGGTGGGGAGTTGTTTGTAGAATGAATTGGGGAGTTTTTTCAAGTATTTCGCTTATGTTTTTCATCCAAAAAACATCAATACACTTTAAAACAATATATTGACTATAAGATTGCACCATATAATCCCCCAAAAATATTTCTCATTTTCAAGGATTATCTATGGATTAACACCCAGGTATTTTCATTTTTCAAACTTCAAAGAACTGGGAAACATGTAATTCATATTCACAGGCTGGTATCGAAAGATTTGTCCGCTGTGACGGAGCATGTTATTTTTCATAAAAACACTAAGAATGCTTCACGATTTATTTTTTAACTCATATGTTTCGTTATATCAAAGATAATTACCTACTCCATGCAATGGATATATTATTTGCGTGTAACCTTCACTTCTGTTTGAAGTCCATTAACGCTAGGAGTAAAATCTATTGAAAACGGCGCCAGAGTATCAAACTCTAAAATGTACCATTTCTTTTTTAACTTTTTAATGGCATGATATAGTGACACGATAATATTAACATATGTTTTCAGCATAACTCTGAATGTACTAATGAGATATTAATGCATTTGGTCTTTTTAATTTTTTTATAAAAAATAATATTAATATTTTTGTCCGCTGTGACGGAGCATTTTCACAGTTCACATTTGCAACTGCTCCGTCACAGCGGACAAAAAAATTAAACATTATTTTTTATAAAAGAATTAAAAAGACAAAATACATCAACATCTCATTTATACCTTCATAGTTATGCTGAAACCATGTGTAAATATTATCGTGTCACTATATCGTGCCATTAGAAAGTTAAACAAGAAATTGTACATTTTGAAGTATGATACTCCGGCGCCATTTTCAATAGCTTTTCTTCCCAGCGTAATTGGACTTCAAACAGAAGTGAAAGTTACCCGCAAATGATATATCCATTGCATGGAGTGAGTAATTGTGTATGGTATAACGAAACATATGAGTTAAAAAATAAATCGTGAAGCGTTCTTAGTGTTTTTATGAAAAATAGCATGCTCCGTCACAGCGGACAAATATTTCGATACCAGCCTGTGATATTCGCTTTTGAATAATATAAATGCTGTCTACCACTTACACAATTCGAGAAATTATTGACATACATAAACCTATTTGGAATAGCATTTATAAAAAGCATACATCTCTCATATGGAGGATAGTGTGAGGATGCTCTACCATTTATTTGTCTCCAACATTTGTTACAGTACTATTTTACACACCTAATCGCTAGTACACAGCCCCGCTTCACTGGCTGCACAACAACAGGATTTGATACTCTAATTGGCTTGAAGGAAAACTTGCAGCCAAAACTCAATGCGCTATCGCTCATGAATGACACAGTGACGATAGGACGGTCAAATATGTGCTTGGGATCAATATGTGACACGATACATCCACCAGGCTGATAATCGTTTATCACTGCACTATTAACAAAGTTTTTTTCAATGACTTTCGCTTCAACCAATGGCTGAACAACTAATTTGTGTATCCACTCTGGAATTTTGTCCACTTGACCTTTGGGGTACAATCGTTCCCCACCTGGTCCCTTTTTATCGAGTTGTGATCCATATGTATAGCCTTCTCCAAAAAAATATTTGCAACGAAGAGGTGCTCTGTCGACTGTTTTTTGCTTATATTCCCCACGGTTTGCTTTCTCTACAACCGATTCAATTTTCTTTTCAATCAATTCGCACATTTCTGACGAAAAAAGTTGTCGGTGGACGATTCCATCTTTGACTCTTCGTATCTCCTCCGCCATTTCCTTCTTAGTAAAGTGGTCATACTTTGACAATGGTCGGTTGTCTTCATCACTGTCATTGTCATACGTGCCCTCAGAGTACCTACGCTTCCTAGAATGCGAATAACTTCGACTGAAACTATTTCGACTGCGAAAATTCGACTCCGCCATATTTGTTGACAACGTGACTGATTGCGCGTGAGCACCCAGAAGCCTTTGCGGTAAACAGTGTCATGTGGACTGAATGACCTTTGTTTTTGATTTACATGTTTTAGGCAGTTTGTATAATCACATAGCATTTCGCATATTAGTAAAATGTCAGTATTTTATAAAAACCTTTCATCGTAATATAGAATATACATTGGCATTTTCTATTGTTGCGTTGTTTTGACATTGCGCAAAAACAAGGTGAAAGCTGAAGGCTTACTTTCGATTTACTTTCTTTCCACTTCCGGGGTAACAGACAAGCAAAACTTTCATTTTGCCATCCAATGTTTTCAATAAATCAATGCTTATGTATAAAAATAACATTCTAAGATTTCGCCTGATAAGTTATGATTGTTCAAGGTAAGTTTTATCCTCAGGCAGTGGTTTAATCTTGAGAATAAATGGGTTAGATAGGGACAGAGTGGAATAGAACAATTTCAATGTTTTTCATCATCTTTACAATGTGTACATTGTACATCAACATCAACTGGTATGGGTGCATGTATTTCATTATTTGTTTCAGATTTGTTTCAATATCTTGCATCACAAATATTGGCCTATGATGAATTCTTGAACTCAATATAAAGTAGTGGTTTTAGTTATGCATTGTTTTATATTTGAAGGTACACTGCAATTCAAATTCAAAGACTTCGAAGAAGTGGAGGCGCATTGAGTCTTGACAATCATGATTGTGTAACCGTTACAACAAAGTCATACTAAAAAACAATGATAGGCTGAATTGAAGATTGTAATACTCTGGATAACAAACTTCTTTCATTGATTCCAAGGTGATACATATCAAGTCCACTGAAGTGCAGACACAATACTATAGAATACACACCCAATACAGCTATGGACTTGGATGTGATGTTCAGTGATTTCCATCATCATCTCAAAGAGGTTTGCTATTATAAAATTAAAAGCCCAATGCTGTCATTTTGATATTTTATTCATAACGGTACATGTACTTGGACATGCACAATGTACATGTACACTTTCTTTTTTGAAGTGAAAATATCAAAGCTTCACCTTGTACTCATAATCAGTAAATGTACATGTACAAGTTTCAAACTGAAAAAACGACTTGTCACTTTGAACCTTTTTGTAAATTGTAATATTGCATACATTTACTTTCCATCAATGTCTATATCAATAATTTTTTCAAGCTTTAATAATTAGCTACATGAATTTGGGATGAATTTACTAATAAGAATATCTAACTATTTTTAAGTTGAAATTTTGAATGTCAGACTTCAAATTGCGTAAAAATGCATGTACATTGTGCATGTGTATACATAAATGAAATAATCTCCAAATAAAGATAATATTGAAAAAATGGGTGATTTCCATATGATAGTTCATCTAATTTGTTTCAGGTGATTCAACAAGAACCAACACATTCTGATGCAATATTGAGCAAAGAAGATGTCAACTGTTTGTTATCTGAGGACAGTGTCCAGTCTGTTAGCGTTGAATACAAAGGTATAACTGGCTATCCAACCCATCCTCTGTACAAGAGGATAGGAGATGTCTTTTTGAGCTGGATAAAAACTGGGTAAGTGCTATCCTCACTTTAAATTGTGGAGAGTTAACATGCAGCGCTCTCTATATACATAGCAGTGCAAAACATTGCCATGTTCACTTTATCATGTTTTTTTCACTTACAAACCGGTGAAAATGTTTAGTGGCCATACATACATGTAATAAGTGCAAGCATTTTTTCACATTACATTTAGTTTTTAGTGGGTGCATTTCCCGCTTGCCTCCCTTACAATGTACATCTGTCAGGGGGGTTCGGTTTTCAAGCGAGACTGGGGCAAAGGTCCCAAGGGCAGATATACATGTATCATTATTGGTACAGGATAAACCCATAATATTGCGAGCCAACTAAACAATATTACATGTATATATAAATCTCAGAATAAACACAATTTCCTGAACATCATATTGCCATTTTTACTGTTACTGAAAATTGTATGTTGGATGTAAGTTTGGCCCTAAAAGGGCATCAGTACAAATAAAATCCAATTATATTATTGGGTAATCTCTGTTGAAAATACAACCCTTAACAAATCTGCTTTGATATGTCAAACACATCCAAGTACACTAGTGAGTATGGCATAAATGTATTTATTGATATTTGCAGGCACTGTCCATTGTTAGACCTACGAGACTATGATTTGCTAGATGAGAAGCTGTATAAAGAAAACAGGTAAAGAAATGCCCTTACAATTTAATGGCTGTTACAGTGCATGACAATTGCTGGAATTACACCACAAAATCCGCTAAAACGTTTTAGTGGAAGGCGCTTTACAAAATCGCCATTCTGATTACACCAACATTTCTAAAGCGTCTTAGGAATTGTATTTTGGAATTACACCTGTTTTTCTAAAACGCCTTTCGTGCACTTTTAACGATGTACTTATGCATACATGTACTGTATATGTGTATCTCCTGTAAATTTATTCTTTTTGCATCTAAGACAAAACTGATCTTCCATAATTTGATTAGAAATGCATGACATTGCATAATTTTTATTTATCTTTTATTAATTATGAGAAAACATAATAAAAAGGTAAAAGAAAAATATGTACATATTCTCTGAAGACAACACTTGATTTCGATGTGACCTGGCGACCATCATCCATTTTTCAATTTAGATACGAAGTCTTATTTCGTTTAGGGCAAATGTTAAAAACTAGTAAAAACCCGGGTAAGGCGTCTTACAAAAACCGATCGGTATTACACTGCACACTTAAAGCGCCTAACGACTTATGCCGTTTACTAGTGACAAGGTTTCTTGGAGTTTTAGAAAAGCGCTTTTGTAAAACCGCAATCGTGATTACACCTAATTCTTAAACCTGGTTAAAACCGAAGAAGCTTTTGTAAAACGCCATGTGTAATTCCAGCAAATGTTAAGTACATGCATTTATGCAATGGTCCTTTTTCCATATAGCTTTGAAATCTCGTTAAAGTCTCGTTTTTAATGAGATTTTAGGAGATCTTCATTTTTCACCATTAAAGACTAACATTTTCTTCTATTTGATGGCATATTTGAATTCTGTGTGTAATTTTCTACCAAAACAATTTTGATTTTCACCATTATTTACCTTTATTCAAATTTTAATGATTTTATAGTTGTTTAAAAAGGTCAGGCTAAATCCCCATTGACACAATGCTGAAAAACCTTTAAAAGTTCCTTTACTCTCACAAGGATCACAATTTTAATATGAAATCACAATCCACATGTCAATAAGATTATATAGTTATATTCCAATGATGTTTTAAGTTGATCCGAATGGAATTACTTCTTAAATCAAGAAATTAAGTAACTCTGATAATACATTTACATGTATTCTAGCCCTTCCGTAGCCCTACCAATACTCATGATGCCATCTATTTCCCATTTATATGGAAAAGGGTCAATTTAAGAGAAAAAAAATTAATCTAGTGATGTTTCCTCTTTATGTAAACAGTTCTCAATGTGAATACATGTACAGTACCTCTCTATGCAAACAGTTCTCATTGTGAATACCTCTTTATGTAAACAGTTCTCAATGTGAATACATGTACAGTACCTCTCTATGCAAACAGTTCTCATTGTGAATACCTCTTTATGTAAACAGTTCTCAATGTGAATACATGTACAGTACCTCTCTATGCAAACAGTTCTCATTGTGAATACCTCTTTATGTAAACAGTTCTCAATGTGAATACATGTACAGTACCTCTCTATGCAAACAGTTCTCATTATGAATACCTCTTTATGTAAACAGTTCTCAATGTGAATACATGTACAGTACCTCTCTATGCAAACAGTTCTCATCATGAATACCTCTTTATGTAAACAGTTCTCAATGTGAATACATGTACAGTACCTCTCTATGCAAACAGTTCTCATTATGAATACCTCTTTATGTAAACAGTTCTCAATGTGAATACATGTACAGTACCTCTCTATGCAAACAGTTCTCATTATAAATACCTCTTTATGTAAACAGTTCTCAATGTGAATACATGTACAGTACCTCTCTATGCAAAAAGTTCTCATTATAAATACCTCTTTATGTAAACAGTTCTCAATGTGAATACATGTACAGTACCTCTCTATGCAAACAGTTCTCATTATAAATACCTCTTTATGTAAACAGTTCTCAATGTGAATACATGTACAGTACCTCTCTATGCAAACAGTTCTCATTATAAATACCTCTTTATGTAAACAGTTCTCAATGTGAATACATGTACAGTACCTCTCTATGCAAACAGTTCTCATTATAAATACCTCTTTATGTAAACAGTTCTCAATATGAATACATGTACAGTACCACTCTATGCAAAGAGTTCTCATTGTGAATACCTCTCTATGCAAAAAAATTTCAATGTGAATACCTCTCTACAGCTTTCAACGTGAACAGCCCTTATCTGAATGGATGTCATGTAGAAACTCTCAATGTGTGAACACCTCTCATGCGAACACCTCTTAGAGTGAAAGCTTTTCAGTGCTTAACCACTTTAAATGTGAACACATCTCATTATTAACATATAAAGCTCTCAATGTGAATATCTAGAGTGAACACCTCATAAAGTGAATATTTTTAATGTGAACACCAAGTATTGATGCTTAGATTTTAATTTGAACAAATCTTAATGTGAACACATGTCAGTGTGATCACATCTCAGAGTAAACCTCTCAATGTGAACACCTCTCGGTATGAGTACCACTTAGGGTGAACTATCATGTCTCCCCTCAATATGAACACTTGTCAAGGTGAACACCTCTTAGTTTGAACAGATCTCAATGATAACACCTTTACTTGTGTTGTTTTGCTGTGAAGTGACTTGAACACCTTGGGACACTTTTCAGTTTGAATATCTCTCGATTGGAATATATCCCAATGTAATCAAATATACAAATAAATAAGTTGAAGAAGAGTTTATAATACGGAACAATAGAAACATGATAATAGACAGTACATCAATTTTCATTAAAGCATGGCGACACAAAGGAAATGTTGATTATGAAATATCCACTGCAAAGGGTATATTATAACTTACTGTATTTTTGTAGGGCTGGAACCATATGCACGATTAACCCACAATTGGAGGGTTTCATATCTCTGTGGGACTTCTGGGTGGATGGTGAAAAGCAATACAAGATCAGGGAGATATTTAAGGTACACATATGTTCCAGACCAGGTAGACATTTCAAATGCTGTCCCAATATGTAGCAGACGCCTCTCCTCATATAACAAAATTTTAAAATGTTAATTTGCCTTTCACTTGTATTTTAAAAAATCAATACCCTTTGTACTCTAGTAGCTCATGCTGGTTGAGTATGCACTTCTATGTCCAGAGATTTTCTCTTCAGAAATCATCTATGTGAAGGTCATTGATCAATTTTGGCTTGGTAACATATTTGCCACTGAAGGCGAAATAGGTCAAATGGCCACGCCCTTTTTTACGCAAATACTCCCCCCCCCCATTTTTGCATCTCTGGAACCGTTGGACATAGAAGGTTGTGTGACCACTCAAAATGTCCGGAATGGCCACATTATAGGGGGTCAATAATACATATGTATTTAAAAAAGTCAATGGTTCTCAAGATATTTGCCAAAAACTGATTTTAGAATGAAAACTCCACTATTTTCTCCTTTGATCCTGTCCCTGGCTCCGATTTCGTTACTCGGCTGGGAAAAAAGGTTTGTTGGCATCATTTTGTGCCAGACACTCTCTAGAATAAATTCATCTTGGGTGGAATAAAAATGTGTGTTAAACGAATTCGCTATGGGCAGTTAAAGAGGCGCCATCTATTCATTTTCAAACAAGGGGTAGGGGTATAAAATAATTTTTTAACACATTTTAATAGTAAAATGACATTGAAATACTAATAAAATCTTATCAAAAACATTATTTACAATCAGTATGAATTTTCTTGTGTGGATTAGGGTGAAAATAAGGGGATATCTTGAAATTCACTACAGGGGCGCCACCTATTTCTGTACGTGTAATAACTTATTTTAGATTCGTTAAGGTACCAAATGTACTGAAAAAATTAATTCTGAAGGACCTATACATGTTCATACCACATACTTAAAATTAGATCAATAGCTTATGTACCGGCGGAGAAAAAATTTATTGAAATTTAAAATTGTGGTATCATGCAGGATAGGGGTGACCATATCTCACATTATTAACTTCCAAAATATGGAGCATATGCATCTCAAATGTACTCAAAATGTTGTATGTACTCTTGCTTTGTCATAATATTACTAATAAGAAGTAGAAAAAAAATGATTGTACATTTTAGAAATTATTAATTCTCATTTTGGCTTCTGACGTCCCAGGGGTGACCATATCTCACCTTTATAACTTCCAAAATATGGAGCATATGTTTCTCAAATGTGGTCAAAATGGTGTATGTACTCTTGCTTTGTCATAATATTAGTAATAAGAAGTAAGAAAATGATTGTTCATTTAAAAAAATATTAATTCTCATTTTGGCTTCTGACGTCCCAGGGGTGACCATATGTCACCTTAATAACTTCCAAAATATGGAGCATATGTTTCTCAAATGTGCTCAAAATGGTGTATGTACTCTTGCTTTGTCATAATATTAGTAATAAGAAGTAGAAAAATGATTGTACATTTTAGAAATAATTAATTCTCATTTTGGCTTCTGACTTCCCAGGGGTGACCATATGTCACCTTAATAACTTCCAAAATATGGAGCATATGTATCTCAAATAAACTCAAAATGGTGTACGAGGCCCGATCAGAAAGTAAGTAACCAACTGCTCTCATTTTTTCATACATTATTCAATCACATTGAAATTTTCACAGATGATGCAGAAAATATTAACCTATTTTAATAAGATCAATGACAATGGGTTAGCCTCAATTACATTGTTATGTGTGTTGCTAAGGTGACGATTATTTTGGGTAGGCGGGGCACCCTTTTGAATGCGGGTTTGAAAAATAATTTATAGAGTTTTTTTTATATTGTATACCTCCATATGACCTTACATTTTCATGCAAGACTGCATAATATGTTTTATGTGATTATCACAATGGTAACTACATTCCAATGTCTCATTTATGAGTCATCGACACAAAGAAATCAAGGACATATGTGTCATAATGATCGTCGCAGTTCAGTCACAGTTTCAGTCAAGTCAAATGTGTTTGAAAGGGGATTTTCCTGGCTTGCACCCCTAAGAGCTCACATTACCGAAGATGCAGTAGATGAAGCCTTCTCCATGGCTACACAACTTCTTCAGGCTCCCTAGTCCCCAGACTTGGCCCCATGCAACTAATGCATAACCCTCTTTCCAAATGCATAGATGTTGTTACATGGAATCCATTTTTGACAGCAATGAAGCCGTCATTAAAGCTTTCAATGGCAGTTTGCATTCATTGAATGGTGACCTGATGCACGTCTTTAAGGACAGAGTGAAACGTTGCCTTAACTGCATTGACTTTGGTAGCGATTATTTTGGGAGAACTAGGAATTTAAATGTAGTCATACATGTAAATTTGATATATTTGGGGGTATAACAACATGTAGAAAAACTCTACAAAGTATCTTCAAACGCCACTTACAAAAGAGTGCCCCGCCTACCCAAAACAATTGTCACCATAGCAACAGCCATAACAATGAAATTGATGCAAGCCTATTTCCTTTGATCTTGTTTAATAGGTCAATATTTTCTACATCATCTGTGAAACTTTCAATGTGATTGATGGAAAAATAAGAGCACTTGGTTACTTACTTTCTGATCGGGCCTCGTATGTACTCTTGCTTTGTCATAATATTATACTAATAAGATGTAGGAATATGATTATACATTTAAAAAATTTTAATTTTCAACTCAACAACCAAAAAGTTTGTTTCCTTCGCTGATCTCACTAGATAGAGGCTGCGGATTCAGTCTTAAATGATGCAGGATAGATGAAAACTGTTGTGCGTAACATGCTAAAATCAGTTTTTGGCAAATATCTTGAGAACCATTGACTTTTTTAAATACATATGTATTATTGACCCCCTATAATGTGGCCATTCCGGACATTTTGAGTGGTCACACAACCTTCTATGTCTAACGGTTCCGGAGATACAAAAAATGGGGGGGGGGGAGTATTCGCATAAAAAAGGGCGTGGCCATTTGACCTATTTTGCCTTCAGTGGCAAATATGTTACCAAGCCAAAATTGATCAATGACCTTCACATAGATGATTTCTGAAGAGAAAATCTCTGGACATAGAAGTGCATACTCAACCAGCATGAGCTACTAGAGTATTGCTAAAAAAATCAAAATACCCCCCCTCCCTAATGAAAGTAACTTCATTCTTCTGCAAGTGTTGGTGATTGGATACAATCCCTAATGTAAAATGTTTGTAGCTATTGGGAAAGAGAGGCCTCTTAGAAATGCTTGGTTTAAGAAAGACTGTGGGAACTGTAGACAGCTGGCCCCCTCCCAGAAGTTTACTTGAACAGACTTTTCAAGATAAACACAAGTAAGAGATATTTATTCAGTGGCATTCATCAAAGTAAATTTGAGAATGTGAAGAGCATGGGCTCTACCACCGATAGAGCCCATTTGAAGAGTAAGCTCTTTGTAGATTGTTATTTTTATCCCGGTTTTTATCACTTTTAACATCATTGTTATAAGCTAGACACTAGACAGTAAGTTAGCTAGATTTGAATCAGTTCAACATTTTTGCAGTAACATATCTTTTGGAGGCTTATAATAAAAATTCCTCTAGTGCCAAGAACATGTTTACTGGTCATTGTCACCACAGCCTTTTAACTTGAGGAATAATTGGTAATAACAGCTGACAAATACATGGATTTGACTGTGAAAGAAAACCAAAAATGGTACAAGTACATGTAGACAGGTTTTTCAGTTTGCCACCTGGCACATTGACATGAAATTAAATATTGAAAATCTGGTATCTGTTCACACCTCAAAAGGTCAAGGTCACATTCTGTTCTCTTTGCAGGGAGAATGTGGGTCTAACAGTGGGTGCACGTGCACTGGCAAAGCATGGTCACCGAGACATGTCAGCAACCTGGTGGGGACTGTCTACAGGGAATGAAGCAGCCAAGAATCAGCATGCATACAGGAAGATGACAGAAATCTTGGACAATGCAACCTGGATAAACATTCATCAGCTTCCAGTAAGTCGATCATGTTATTGGAATATAATTTTCAAGGGATCATCATTGGCAGAGGAAGTGAGCTTAGAGATAGAGAAAAAAGGTGTCTTGTTTATATGTCATTGCGATTCCTGGAAAACGTTTTTCCAAAGGTGATTTACATTTGGCCAGCCATCTTGTTTCCTGATCCCCTTAGCCATTTTAAAAGTTTTTTTCGGATTGACTGAAGTACGTAAGCTACGTGTTGAGGGTACCAAATTGATTTTTTATTGAAATGATTTTAATTTTTAATCAATTTAATAATTTTTGAGTGTCTATACTGGCTACTTTCCGTATGATTTTGTCTACTTCTTGTGCGTGCCTTGTTAGAAAAAAGATAGGACAAGAAGATATAGTAATACGGACATAATTTGCTACTTTTTCTGAATTCTGTTACAGCATGATATTCATATCATAGAATGCCGTATGTGTGAAGGCTACGGAGTAAGATGGACTAAAGATGGCAGTTCTTTCAGGGGGTTTCTAGAGCCCCAAATGGAAGATGGACATGATGTCGGGTGGAGACATTGAGACTATGTTATAGATGGCAGTTCTGTCAGGGATCTCTAGAGCCCCAAATATAGGATGGACATGATGTCGGGTGGAGACATTGAGACTATGTTATAGATGGCAGTTCTGTCAGGGATCTCTAGAGCCCCAAATATAGGATGGACATGATGTCGGGTGGAGACATTGAGACTATGTTATAGATGTCAGTTCTGTCAGGGATCTCTAGAGCCCCAAATATAGGATGGACATGATGTCGGGTGGAGACATTGAGACTATATTATAGATGGCAGTTCTGTCAGGCGTTTCGGCACAGGTGATTTCATGATGTCACAAATATTACTGTATATGGAAATGATTAATGTTTTGGCTATACAGTTTAAATGAAAAAATAAAACTGAATTTTGTTTTGAAATGCTTTGTTAGGTCGATGGACGTACAGTACATGTATACCAACAATGGTTAGGTGAACTACTGCATGTGATAAATAGAATGACGGCATCCTATGATTTTTTCGTGATATGATTTTAATCCACTCGTTGATATCAATATCTGCACTCATTTGCTACGCTCACTCGTCCAGATATTGATCAACTCTGGATAAAAATGACATCTCTCAAAATCATAGGATATCCTTTAAGCTTACATAGAGCGATTGATACATCTATGCGTTTTCGATCCGTTTCGATTTTATTTGGACTATTGTTTGACTTGAATACGCGTTTGGAAAATTGATCCAACAATTTGATAAACTTTTAAAAATCCACTCTCCCTCAGAGGTTATTTGGATAAAAATTTTCCAAGCAGTCATGCGTATTCCTTAACCAAATAGCGTCACCTGTATGATATAGTAATCGTAATTGTCATGAAAACGTAGCCCTTATACTACATATACCATTATTTTAAGTTCAATTGCATTCTTATGCATATATTGGGACCATTTAGCATTATAATTTGTCCCATTTAGCATTCTTTTCTCCCAAAATATTTTTGACGTTGTAAAACTGATTAGTTATTGGAAGTTGTAAGAATTTGTTACAGACGCCGATCGCCAACTGCAAACCACCAACCGACGTCAAAAAACGAATAAAAAGATAAAATATGAAATACGTAAATCAAAAAATAAGTGAATCACTTCAAGTTGCCCATTTAATCTTATGGCTTGTGGAATGTAACCATTTGATTCATTCTGTAATTTTGCAGTATTCAGTTTCAGTATTGTTTTTCTCTTTGATAATTCACAACTTTGATAATTCATGATTCTCATTTTATGTATCTTATGTATATGGTAGATAAGTGAATTAAAGAAAACGTTAGAAAATGAATATGATGTTGGATTATTTTTACAACTTTATGGAATGTAAAATTAACGCTCAACAAATGTAATCTGAACTTAACCCATACCATAATACAATCATAACATATAACTTCTACAGCAGTTACGGTCACTGGTTTCCTTACCTATTTACTGTACCCATTAACTGTGAAAATTATGTGATCTATGGAGTGTGACAATGATCCGCCCATAACAGTGGGAAGTCAGGCCTGTTATGGTATCACACTCTGGTGGTTTTACCTTATCCTCTAGACTGTTGTAGGGTACTTTTGATAAGTCTCAAATGATACGAGCGAAACCAATCACAACATATTTTACTTTTTTCTTTGAACGTGCGTGACATCAAATTGTCCCATTTCGACTTTTTCTCCTTTGAGTTTTAGTAAACTGAATTCAGGGAAGAAAAGACGGCAAATAGACTTTGAAAATAAATTATATTATACAATCATAGTACCCCGGACAGGTTGAATGATGCAGTCGTGTTTTTACTCTATATTTGCAATGGAACAACTATTCTTATTGAAAGTTTCAAGATTTATTCTCGAGACAATTTCCAACATGGAAAATAAATATTTTATCAAAATTTCCAATTTTATGATTTTGACAGGCTTTTTCAAAAACGCTTCACTGTCAATAAAATACGGGTTTTTGCTTGAACAATTGAACATAAAACGTCATTTCAAATATTGCCTAGATATTGGATTTTCGGCTGCCTAAAGTCTTTCCAGATATATTTGTTGCCATATTAATAATTATGGCTGCTTATTGTTAATCACTTTTGTCATATTCAATATTATTACAGTGCATTAGACCAATAAAAAAACTTGCTCTGGGTCTCATTTTGTGAAGCGTTCCCTAGATTAAGCCTAGATAGAGGAGGTCAATCTTCTTGTCAACAGACACAAGCTCAACCAGATCGAACTGTTCAATACTGTCCAAAATGAGGTAAAACATTACGAATCTCCAACTTCAAGTATTTCCGGCATTAGATCCTTCAAAGATATTAATATACCTGTGTCACATTCTATCATGAAATTGTTAGGGAAACCTGACATATTCAAATCATGGTACAATTTACGTGCCAAAGGGTTGCATGCTGAGTGATGGCGGTGGAAAACCCCAGTGGCGAAAAAGGTGTGTTATCAGAGGAGTGACCCAGAGTGACAAGTTGTAATAATATCACTGAATATGACAAAAATGAATAACAATGATCAAATACATCTGGAAAGACTTTAGACGACCAAAAATTCAATAGCTTGACAATCTTTGAAATGACGTTAAAAGTTCAATTGTTCAAGCAAAAACCTGTATTTTATTGACAAGGCGTCTTTTTGAAAAAGAGCCTATTAAAATCATAAAATTAGGAATTTCGTTAAAATAATTTTTTTCCATGTTGGAAATTGTCTCAAGAATAAAATATGAAAATTTCTATAAGAACGGTTGTTCTTTTGGAAATATAGAGTAAAAACACGACTGCTTCATCCAACCTGTCCGGGGTACTAAAAATGCTCATGAACTCAAGATTCCAATGATATATCACACGACTATCATCTTTTCTTAAATCTTTAGTTATTATTTATTATGTGCGTGACATAATTTGTCCCATCGAGGCTTTTTTACAAGATAGAGAAATACGACGTCATATCAGCACTATGTATATGTACTGACTTCAAAGTGTTTAAGAAGCTATATGACTCCCTAGTACAACTGGTGATCAACTACAACAGCGCTGTTGTTGGCCTTAGGGAGCATAGATGCTTAAACAAATAATATACAAAATCCAGATATTAGATATTTGCACACGTAACATTCGTTTTCATGTTTTCATTAATACGTTAAAATGTGTATTATCATCTTAATAACCACCTCACAAATTAATTTGGAAATCAAAGATGTACGATTTTTGAAATTTTTATTTTCGAATGTTGACTTAGTTACTTGACTGCGATGCGATATGTGTGATGTGATACCATGTATGCGCCTGGATTTAAATACACGTTTAAGTAACTTTATAAATATTTTTCATAAGAAATAATATAAAAAGTCAGCAGAAACACTGAAATAGAATTGTTGAGGTATTGAAGGCCTAGCTCTTCTATGCAAAAATAACTGAAATCATGTTTTAACTATATGTACATTCAGAGTCATATAGCGTGACACAAATCATCCAACCTGGTACAAATCTGGTACATACAACTTACAAACAGTTAGTTCGTTAATTACGTTGATAAACAAATAACAAACAAGAATGAGTTTTGTTTGGCGATATTACATAATGTTACATAATATATTTCTAAATACTAATTGAAATAAATGATTATACCACAGCTGGGCAGCCAAACCCAGAAATCAATTGTCGCGGTGATTCGGCATTAACCTGAAAACTACGCGAAAATCGTGCTTTTCTACAGAATATAGTCCCGCCTCGAAAAATCATATAAAATGACACCTGTGCATGAATTGATATTTAATATTGATAAACGTAATGATTTTGGCTGATATTCAAGGAAACGTTTGGAGATATCGGGATGTAACTATATTTCACAAATAATAAGCTAAATAAGGTATGGTGGGTGAGGAAGAAGACCTCAAAGAGAAAAGTTTTTAAACTGGGTTTCGATAATTTGGAAAATTGGGGTCGTATACATGTTTTGGGCATTTTTTCTGAGATTAGTTATTTATGTGATTTTAGTAGAAAAAGCACCCCCCTTTACTCGCGGACGTGATTTGAACGTTTTATTGCCCATTCTTATATAATTCTTGAGTTATCAGCTACTAAGTCAGCAGTAATTGATTTTCAGAACAAAATGTTAATTCTCAGGGATCGATTTTGACATGGTCCCCTGCGGTTGTAAACACTCAATCTCGGATGAAACCCGTAGTTAGCCGATACAAAATAACCAATAGATGATAAAATTGACGTGTAGTCCCCAAAAAATCAGCTAAATTACAAAAAAAAATCTGAGAGAACATAAGTTCAGAATGTTTTGGGCAAATTTTTTTCTTAGAGATCTGTGGTTAAAAATCTATTTCAAAATAAAATGTAGTCTAAAATACATAATGATGTGTAAATATAAAAATATCTGGATTAGTACTTTTATCAGGAGACTTGTATCAATTACGGTCCAGTCATGACTAATTGACTAACTACCTAAAGATTATATAATAAGTGTATATGTAGTTACGTAATTAAAAAACAACCGCGCACTTGTTCCACTATGAACAGTGCTCCAGAGGCAGTCAAGAACAGAATGAGCATAGCTCAAATAAATGAGAGTACAATAAAAACGGTACATACAATGTTCAAAAGCGCTAAGGCAGACATGAACTGTGATGTAAAAGTGCAAGTGTACGTAAAAAACTGTGAATCAAGTAAAAACTGTGAAACAGCGGTACAAATACATTTGCAAAAACGTCACGTTACGTGACACCTTATACATACCTAATATCAGATATAAATGCAATCAAAAACTATAAATGAACAGTGTGTAACTGCAAGCATATGAATTACATAGAGTTACAATACAAATACCGATGCGGATTAATTTGTATGACTAAACTGTAACAATAAAGACAATCAAGAACAGTGACTCAACCAGTAGAATGCCGTGTAGTAAAATGCTTCCTACATTGGCATTCGGCAAGGCTAAAAATTAGACATTCATAAAAATGTGCTACAGGCGCATTG